CGCCCCTCCTCCCTAGTGGCCACCCTATACCCCTCCTGCCTCTGCTCTTGAACTTCCGCTCCCCCTCCTTGGAGTGTGCTCCAGGCCAGGAACTTGACCCAAATAAACTGGCCCACCTTCCTCCTGGGGACGCAGCGACTCAGGCAAACCCAACTCCAATCCCCGCCTCTGCTCCCCTTCCCTGCCCCCGGCTACGTTAGGCCTCCCGGAAGGTGTTGGGAGGGCAGCAGGGAGGGGCTGGCACAGGCCACGTTTCTGACATCATCCCCATCTCTGTCTTCGTCTTGGGACCAGCTGTGTACCCACAGCCTCACATTAGCTGGCTCCTGCCGCCTCCCTGTTGTCTGCTTCTTGGTCAACAGACAACCCTGGGAGCAAAGAGAATCTCAGAATTCCTGAGATTCCCCCAAGAAGCCCCAGGGACTGGCACTTCCATCTGTGACCCTGGGCCCCTGTGCTGGCTCACTTGGTCCCCACACTGCGAGGAAGCCCGCGCCATCCCAGCCTAACATGACTTGCCGGTTCATAAGTAATGTCACGGTTCATAAAGAGATGGTTCAAGGGGGCAGTCCTGTGGGCGGGCTCTCGATCCCCAAGCCTGGGAAAGGTCCAAGGAAAGGTACCAGGGGCACTTGGCCCCCCACTGGCCCCCGTGTTTCTCCATGACCACCTGCCTCTGGCATGGCTCAGTGGGCAGGTCAAGCTGGGCAAGCTATGGGAGGGCCAAGAGGATCAGCGTAGTCTGTACCTCAAGGGCCCCCCACCTGGCCTTGCATGTTGCCTCAGCTCCAGAGTAGACCCTTGTCGTCTCCCACCCCTTGTTTGGCCTGTGACCTTATATAGCTGGCAGGGACAGCCAGGTGCCTCGGGTAGAATATGTGAGATTTCCCAGTGGGCGCAGGGACTCTAAGTAGGACCAAGGAGCAGAAGCAGCCTGAGCCTGGCCAGAGACCCAACCCTCAGCTCACTGAGTGGTCTTGGGCAAGTCCTTTGCCCTTCCTGGCCCTCTGGGTCACAGTGTCCCCATCTGTACAGTGAAGAGACTGGGCTACCACCCCTAAGGATGCTGCCCTGTCCACACCCGTGAACCCTTGGCCTTGCCCTCCTGTAGGCCTATGAGAGGCCGCCAAGCCCAGGGTCCCGGGGAGAACTGCCAGGCTAGGCGGATGTGGTAGCCATGAGGGCACCGGGTAAATCTTGGCGCAGGTTGATGGGCATTTGGATCGTCTCTGTGGCTTCTTTTCCTCAACCTTGCCCTGAAGTATTACCCTTGCATCTGAAAGCTGGGGACACCTATACCTATTCTCTAACTGTCCCTCCTGCCCCCATACTTGACTGACACTCTTGTTTAACCCACAGAATGGTGGGGTCCTGATCCTCAGCCTTGTCAAAAGTTGTGACACCCTAACACGTAAGACCCTGAGTGATCACAAGACCTGAAGCTTCCATTTACAGGACGCTGAGACTAGAGGGGAAAGGACTGGCCCGAGGTCACTGAGGGACAGCACCTGGATCAGGACAAGCACATGGGATCCTGACTCCTCAGCCGGCACTTCGCTTGACCATCTCCTTCACTTTCAACAAGGGAAGGGCTGTTTCCCAGACCAAAGCTTATCCCCCCACACTCCATCTTGTCAAATGTCAGACCCCCCAGGAGGCCCAGACGCTGGCCAGAGGGGGTGGAGACTGGAGGAGATCAGAACTTGCTCAGTGAGTTGAGGTGGCTACTTGGATAAAAGGGTCTCAGTGCTGGGGGGGGGCGTGGCCATGTGCAGGGTGCCAGGCCCGAGTGGGGCTCGCAGAGCAGCTAGGGCTGAGTGTGGGTCTGGCGCCCCAGAGGCGGCCAGCAGCCTGGCAGTTTCCTCAGGCGTCAGCTGGACACTCAGAACCCATTGGCAGGGCCCACTGGCAGGGAAGGAGGCCTTTGGTGGGAAAGGGCAGGGCAGAGGTGGCAGCCACCCGAGCTCGGCTCCATCTGCCATTGCTCAGGTGACAGAGCCTTGGACCAATCATTCCTCAGCTGTCCCAGGTGCACCTTCCCCAGAGAGGTCTGCCCCTCTAGACAGGACGCAGTTTCTCAAAGAGCCTCTGGTCTGATGCCTGCGGTGAAATGACAAGCTGTGGGTCCCAGGGGCGCCTACAACCATTGTGAAGAACTGGAGGCCCCGAGGGGGAAGGCAGCCCCTCCCCCCATCAGGAACGCTGCGGCTCCTTCGCCCGTGTTTTATGTTCCTAACCCAACTGGCCGCGCGGAAGCAGAACGAGCGGCCACCTAGCATGCGTGATTTAAAGTTCATGTCTCTACTGCCCTCCACCATTATGAATGTTTCTTTTAATTTTGAAGGTGTTTAGATCTTTCTTCCGAATCATCTGGTTCGGGAGCAAGTGTCCTAGGGGATTAGTCACAGGCACCGGGAGCTTGGGAAGGGCCAAGCTGACCAAGGCAGCCAAGTGCTCCAGGACATGTGTGGGGAGGGCTGTGTGGGGAAAACCGGGGAACGAGCCACAACCTGTCCTGCCACAAAGTTTATTTGTCACCCCTACCAGCCCTTCCAGACTGGTTCTTGTGACTCTGCTTTGCTGCCACCAGCTTGGGTCAGCCCACAGGAGACTCTTAGTAGAGTCATGGCTTCGCCCCATAGTTTTGCATTTCTTCAGGTCCCAAGACTGTGCAGACCATAAAGCAGGGACACATTGGGGTTTCTCAGAGGCCCCACCCAGAACCCTTCCCTCTTCCCTTTACAAACCCAGCACATGCTTGCTAAGTTCTTGCTCCCTGACTGCCTAGGAAACCTAGATTTTTAAAAAATGGCGGGGTGGGGGGAGAATGGGGACAACAGTAATTGAACAATATTTTTAAAAAAAGAAACTTACAGATAGATAAGGGAGAGCTCAGCTCAGGAGCAGAGGGGTGACCTATCCCCAGGGGCCCTGGCATGGGGGACTGAGATAACCAGTGGAGAATTTCATGCAATAAGGAGATACCTGGGGGTGGCTACTTGAGCCCAGAGGGCCTCTCCTAAGGTCCCTTAAGCAAGTTAACTGGGCAGCTACCCATTTGCAGAAGGGGCCATGGTCCATGGCCACCACCAGGGGCAGCATGCAGCATGGCCTGCCCCACAGTGGTGCAGATACTCCCAGAGCCCTCCAGGTGGCGCTGCAGGCTCAGCGTTCGCGTTGGGTGGAGACGTGCTGCCCTAGAGTCCAGAGTGTTAGTATGTCCCCGATAAAGGCATCAAAGCCATTGCAGGAAATGTACTGGCAGACTGCCCGGGCAGGGGACGGGGGGAATGCCATCCAAGGGCCCACGTGGCACCAGGAGTCAGCAGGGTTTCCACTGGTGGACACAGGAAGGGGAACCCCTGTAAGAGGGAACAGCCTCTGCAGGGGCCCTGAATGTGGTCCTGCCCTGGACTTAAGGAATTTGCTTTCAAGGCAGAAATACCTTTCAAGGAGAAAACAAGCTCAGAAACAACAAGGACTTGTCCCAAGTCAGGGCAGGTGATGTCCTAGGGCGTGGAACGGTGTGCATAAAATATGTAAATAAATTTCTGAGTTCTGTTGCTGGGCCCTATGCCAAGAGCCTTCCACGGAATCCGTTTTCTCTTCCATCACCATCGGAGGCCACGCTCCCCTCAGAGAGGTCAAATAACTTCCCCAAGGTCACACAGCCTTGAGTCCTGACAGAAGCAAGACTTGCCGCATGGTCTGCCAGACTCTAGAGAAGAGGAAAGCCAGGCGGAAGGGATCATGGTGGGACTGAGCGATCCCAGGAAGGACTGAGCAAGAACTGCAGTAATTGCGCCCCTTCTGCTTCCTGAAGGGAACCCAGTCCAGGGCAATGGGGGCCCTGACAAAGAGTGGGGGGTAATCCTGTGGCTGGTGGGGAGACTCTGGCCTCCACCGCAGAAAAGCCCTCTGGTATGCTAGCTCAGCATTTCAATATTTTCTTTAAATTGCTCACACTTCTTCACATGGGAACTTTGCCTCAGCTCAGCACTGTTGGTGCCTGGGCACTAGGGTCTCAGGGGTCCAGCAGCCCAGCCCTCCCTTCCTCCCTCTTTCAGGAAGCCCCCAGGGGCAACTGAAAGCCCTCCACAGAAGTGTCCGAGGCTAACCGCACCCATTTTCCTGATGAGGAGCCTGAGGCTTAGGGAAGGCAGTGTCTGCCTCAGGATGTGGGCAAGCCGGGGGCAAGGCCCCCTGACGCCACTCTCAGACTCTAGGGACCAAAATGGCCCAGCTCAGTCACTGCAGCGACCGCAGGCAAGCGCCTAGCTCCAGGCAAGCAAGGGGGGCGGGGGGGGGAGACCCTGGGGGCGACAGTTCAGTAAGGCTGCGCTCCCACTGGGGCAGAAAGTGTGATACTGAGACGGGCAGGTGGTCCACTGCCCATGGCCCTTGGAGGCCGCTTATTGCAGGGGCTGTGGGAGGAGCCCCGGGCAGGTCCAGGACAGACTGGCTCCCCATCCTGTGCCCTGGGGGGGCCTGCAGGCGTGGCTCTCAGCCCTGGGCCCTCATCTGCTACACCAGCCCCTGTCCCACTGAGCCCAGGAGTAAAGTGAGGTGAGCCCCTGGAAGCACCCAAGGCTGCTGGTGAGTGGGTACAAAACAGGAAGGGACGAGGCAGGCCCTCGGGCGGATGTGACCCAGAGCAGAGGGGAACTGCGAAAGCCGCCATCCCCCCATCCCCCATCCCCAACACTCTGAGGGCGCAAGGGCCTGAACTCTTGAGGATCTTGGCAGACTCTAGCTCCAAAATTTATGCAAGCTCAGCCCTAACCAGCGTGGCTCAGTTGGTTGGGCGTCATCCCACAAAGTGAAAGGTTACAGGTTCGATTTACGGTCAGGGCACATGCCTAGGTTGCAGGTTCAGTCCCTGATCGCTGCCAACTGATCGATGTTTCTCTCCCTCTCTTTCTCTCTCCTTTACCCTCTCTCTAAAAATAAATAAATAAAACCTTTAAAAAAATTCATGCAAGTTCAATACTTTATTTCATAATATATCTGGGTTTGTTTTTTATATAAAAATAACAGTTTTCCCTAAGTTTTTGCTCCAAGGAAACATGCCATGCTCACCATGTGGCTTTATGTACCATCGCCATAGCCCCTGTCCTGTTGGGCTGAGAACCGTGGCCTTGGGGCTGTCGAACAGACAGACAAGAGGGCCGAGGAGAAGACAACAGGAACAGGAGGGGAGTGGGGCCCCCCAGGCCCTGGTAGGGGTAGGGGCTGTCAAGCCTGCCTGAGCCGGCTTGGTGTTGCTGGGGCCCTGGGTACTGCCTTCACTGTTGGAGGTAGGCTTCCAGCCAGACGTTGCCAGACTTCTTTAGGGACCTGGGTGGGGGGGAGGTTGAGGATGCCACTGTAAGATACCAACCCCCTCTCTGCAAGATGGTGAGTGGCTGGCATCCCCATTCCCCTGCGAGTCCTCTTCCCCTGAGGCAAGCAGCTGGGTGGGGCTGAAGGGATGGACTAGGAAGTGAGGCTACTGTCTTGTGGAACTGGAGTGGAATCTAGACTTGGAATGGAATCTAGAACTGGAGTGGAATCTAGACGGGGGAGGGGCAGAGCCAAGGCCAAGTCCAGGCAGGAGCCAGGCGGGGCCTGTCCCTCCTTCCCTGAGCTCTGTCTGCTGCCTCCTTCTGCTGTGCCCTGCGACCCAGAGATTTGTAACGCCTCTCCCCTGTCCACCAGTAAGTAGTCAGGCAGAGGAGCCAGAAATATCAACGACTTGGTAGAAAACCCCGGGCCAGGCAGAAAAGGGGCAGGGGCTCAGAGGATGGAGCTGGGAAGGGTCATGAAGGTGAAGCAGGAGTTCAAACACCAGGATAGAAGGTAGGGCATCCACGTAAAGGGAACAGCAGAGTCAAGGTGGAAGACCTCTGGCTGGGTAACCTGAGCCCTGTTCCCACCGCAAGGCTGGGCAGCGGCAGGTCCCGCCGCTCTGCTCTCTGCTCCCGCCCCACCACAGCAGGCAGAACACCTTCCCAGAACCCAGCTGCTGCACGTCCCTCCTCCGCACAGCGGCTCTCCCACATACCAGCACCTGCCTCAGGGCTTTTGCACTGCCGTTCCCTTGCCCAGAATATTCTTCTCCTTCCCCACCCCCACGTCTCCCTGGCCATCCTGCTCTCCTGCCCCCCTCCTCCTGGCCCTGCTTATGTCTCCCCTCAATACCAGCCACCGGCTACCCTGTTGAAAACTGCAACCCCTGTCTGGCACTCCACAGCCACTCTCCTGCTTCCAACCCTTAGGTCTGATGGCTTTGTTTCTTGCCAAGGCGCTTCTCCCTTTCTCATGTTTTCTCTAATTCACTTATTTTAACTGCTTGTTTTCTCGTTCCCATGCTAGGCCGTCAGTGCCGAGAAGGCACGGAGGCGTCTCAGCCTGCTCTCCTCACTGGTGTATTTGCAGCACCCGGGCCTGGTCCAGGGGCAGGTGGTGGGTGACTGAAGGGCTGGGAAGGGAGGGAGGTCACAGGCTCAGGGCAGACGGGCTGATGGGAAAGGCTGTGTGTCGGCTCTTCGAGAGGGACCACTGTGGGCTCAGAGAGGGGGCTGAAGGGGACCAGGGCGGACGGGGCCCCCAGGGAGCCACCCTGAGCCCTTACCCGACGATGTCCACTAGGGCGGTGAGGAAGGGCTTCACTTCGTAGATGAGCCCATGCTTGGCACACAGCGCCTTGACCAGCGGTGCGACCCTGTGGTAGTTGTGCCGAGGCATCGTGGGGAAGAGGCTGGGGTGTGGGGGGAGAGCATGTGCTGACACTGGAGCTGGGGGGTGCCGGACGGACCACCACCCATCACCACCCAGGGAGTCCAGGGCTCACGTCTCGACCTCCCCAGGGAAAGACTCACTTCCACCCCTGTTGGACCCCAGGGCCTGCACTCACTGGTGCTCGATCTGGAAGTTGAGGTGCCCGCTGAGCCAGTCGATGAACAGGGAGGACTCCACATTGCAGGTGGCTGCCAGCTGCCAGGAGCAGGTGAGGGAGCACAGGGAGCACAGATAAGGGAGGCTGGCATGAAGCCCTGAGCCTGCCTGCCCCTCAGGGTCCCTTCCCTTTCCACTGGGACCCGCCCCCGCCCCAGGAGGTAACCCTCCAGCCCACCTGCGAGCTGGCCCAGTCCCGGTGCTTCTCATGGCCAATCTCCTTGGGGATGTGGTTCATCTGCGTGATCCACACGAACCAGTGGCTCTCCAGGACCCTGTTGGGGGAGGCTCAGGCACTGCCATGTCCAGCTCACCACTTAAATGAGACCTGGGCCTCAGCCTCCTCATCTGCACAGTGGGACTGCGATAAACCCTGCCCCACTGGCGTCTAAAGCAGCTGAGAGGCAGGCTCCATGCCGGGCTGAGCCCAGGGCAGCCCTGGGGGTCGCCCCCTGCAGACCCACTGTTCCGGGGAGCCTGCCACGCTCATGTCATTCGCTTCTTCTACAACCCGGAGCAGCTCTGGAGGTGGAGGGCTGTGGTCAGGGTCCCCGGCTGCCTGTGTGTGACCTCCCCACCTCTGCCATTCCAAACCACCATACCTGACGGCCACGAAGAGGAGCAGCGCCCCAGAAACGCTGTAGAAGGGGAGGTAGGACAAGAAGAAGCGGGAGTAGAAGCTGGCGGCCCAGAGGAAGTCCTGCAAGGAGTGGAGGACAGAGGTCTTGAAGCAGCCGCGAAGGGTGGCCAGGGTCGCCCACGCCTTCTGCTTGATGTGCCTCGGAGCCCTGGACAGGTCACTGTCTCTCTCTGGGCCTTGGTTTTCTCAGCCAGGGAAAGGGGCATGGAAGTGAAGGTGCCATGGAGGGCTGAGATCAGGACACCCCTGTCTGGGGAACAAGTGCCTGGTGGAGTCAGTCCAGGGGTCCCCACCCCCAGGGAGGACACCACGCTGTGCCCTGGGCACACATTTGCTCTCCCCCTGCACGCATGTACCTCATTGTTGTATGCACACATGCCTGTTGGCATTCGTGGACGGGGGCTGCTCCCTGACGCCCCCGCCTCCTGCCACCACAGCTGTATGCCTGGGGGACTGGAGCAGGGCCCACTCACCCTCCACTGCATGCACACCAACATGTAGGCCAGATTCTCCACCTCAAAGTTCACCAGGGTGAGCAGCGGTGGGCCGACTGCAAGGAGGCACGAGAAGGCTCAGGCACCGGGCCGGGCGAGCAGGCTGGGCAGACGGGGCGGGAGCGGGGCTCTGCCACTCTGGGAGCACCAGGGGACTTGGTCCCGGGCTGGCCAGCTGGGGTGAACCCACATCACCCTCCAGGCCTGGTCCACATTCTTCTCTCAGCATTGGAACCTCCCCAGACTGACCTTTGCCTGACCGCCTCCCGTGTCCCTTCTGCAGGTCAGGGCTAGCCTTGCACGTCCCCGTCCTGGCCCCTTTGGCCACGCCCTTTGAGTCCTCACCCAGTCCACCCCGACAATTGCTAGAGCTCTGGGCTGCTCGGATGTGAGGGCAGGAAGGAACCTTAAAAGCTCCTGGCAGGGCTGTGACTACCTCTGGCTGCAAGGCACCCCAGGCAGAGGGACTGGCTGGGGCAAAGGCCTGGCAACGGGACAGTCAGCACAGGCTGCAGGCTGAGGCGGCAGGACAGGGCCTGGGAGAGGCCTGGAGGTGCCAATGTTGAGGGAATGCTAAGAAGTACCCACCCCCCCGCCCCCTGCCCAGAGATTGCTAGAAGCTGCCTGGTGTTGGCAGACATGGGGCAGACAGTGCAGGCTCCGGCATGGTCCCCACCCCAGCCATGTCCCTACCACGGGGGGCAGGAGGGACAAAGGGACACTCACTCAGGAAGAAGTACAGGTGCTGGTGATTGTAGGGTAAGTATCTTCGTTTCTTCCTGCCGTACTGCAGAGATAGGTGGTGGCTGGGGAGGACAGCTCTCCGGGACCCCTCCTCCCGGGCAGGGGCAGGGGGCTTGCTGGGACCACGGGGCAAAGGCGACTCCAGATTCTAGCAACTGGGCCCATCGTCACCAGCAGGCTGGGCAGTGGGTAGGGGGTCCCACTGGGGTAGGGGCTCAGCCTGGAACTAGAGTGGTGGGCTTGGTTGGGGGCTAGGGCTGAGCCGCAGTGGCAGCCCCAGGAGCTACGAGTCCCCTCAGCCGCAAGCCCAGTCTGTGTGTGTCCACATGCTCCCCACGAACCTCAACAGATGACTCGCCCAAGAGGAAGACGGGTGCCAAGGTCACATCTGGGTCTTTGTAGAAGATGTTGGGCTTGGCATGGTGCTGGAAATGGCGGAAGTTCCACCAGTGGGCAGAGAAGCCCTGTGGGGCAGCGGAGGGCTCTCAGGGGCGGGGCCGGGCCGCATCCACCACTCCCCGCCTGCACGCAGGGGCAGTTCCAGCGTGGCACCCCAACTCAGCCCCCTAGTGCCCGCCGAGCACCCCACCCTCACCTTCAGCTGTCCCATCACAAATTGCTGGGCCAGGTGGTTCCACCGGGACTTCCTGAAAACAGAGGTGTGGCCCAGGTCGTGCTGCAGATACCAGCTCTGAGCCTGGGGAGAGAGGCAGGCTCAGGAACCCTGGCACCTGGCTCTGGCCATGCGGGACGGGGCTGCTGGTTGCCTGGGGGCCCAGGGATCCCCATCCCCCGCAGCTTGAGGGGCACACCCACAGCTAATGTTCCATTTAAGGGCCCTGTACACCAGCTTCCTCTTTTACAGAACACTGAGTTTCTGGAGGCCTAGAACAGTTTCTGTACATCGTGGAGCTGTGGGGCTCTGCGTCCTGTGCTCATTCAGGGTCAAGTAAGGAGCTTCCTCAGCTCATTCAAAATACGGCGTGACCCTCAGGTGCAGGCCTTACGGGGTTTCTGGCTGGTTGTTCGTTCGTTCGTTTGTTCATTCATTCATTCATTCATTCACTCAGCAAATACATCCAGAATGTTCACAGGTGTCTGTTGGACAGTTTAGGGACTGCAAGACAGTGCTGGGGTCACCTGGGAAATGGCCAGGATGAGGGCGGCGAGGGTGCTGGGCACCCAGCCAGAGCCAAGGAGGTAAATGATGAGCCAGGCGAGCACCTCCATGGCCAGGATGTGGCCCAGCAGCAGGGCAAAGAAGGTGGGCTTGGCCTCGAACAGCTTCATGTCCTTGGCTGCCTGGCGCAGGGCTCGGAAGTCCTCGGCCAGCTGGGCCTGCCATGGACAGCGGCCAGTCAGGTGAGGAAGCGAGGTCCCAGCTGCCCCAGAAACGCCCCGCAGCCTCTCCTCCCACACCAGGCCCAAGGGGTGTGGCCAGGGGGGTCAGAGGGACAAAAGCACCTGGCTTGGGAAGTGACCTGGATTGCTGCCTGGTGCCAAAGGCTCCCCTGCAAAAGGTGTGGGGGTACGTGAGAAGCAGAAAAAGGCAGAGCAGGCAAAACCCATAAAGTGCAACTCATCGAAATTCTCACTGTGGATGGGGACGCTGGGCCCAGGGCAGGGAGGGGCCCGCCCGGGGACAGGTGCTGGCCCAGCCCGAACGGCAGGCATCGCTGCAGCCCTTCCTACAGCTGCCTGCGGAGGACGGGATGGCAAGCCAGCCTCGCTCCGCTCTGGGGCCCCTTGGGCTAGTGCAGACGGAGCTGCTACTGGCCACGCCCCCCCAGGGCCCTCCAGGGATGGCTCAGCCTCCACCAGGGCCCCGCTCACATTCCGGGGTCCATCCTGGCTGGGCTCCTCTGGGGCCAGCTCTCCAATCAGCAGGGGCTGCAGGAACTTGCGTACAAAATTGAGGTCCTGATGGAAGGCATGGAAGGCATCCTGAGGGAGAGCAGACAGTCAGGTGGGCAGACAGACAGACAGCCAGCGCAGCACCCAGAGGCAGCAGGCAAGGTGGAAGGACTGCTGATGGAAGGGCAGAGCAGACAAGACAGATGGGCGGAGAGTGAGCCGGTTGGTCAGCGGTCATGGAAATAGTACCACGTGGGTCAGCCTTGTCCATGAGAGCCCACCCTGGTCCCCCCCCAGGCCCTGGGTGCCCTGCCGGCCAGGCCCCAGCTGCTTTGCCCAGCACAGGGGGCCTTTCCCCAAACCTGGCTGGGTGTATAAACATCTGGATTGGCAGAAAGGTCTCCCTGGAAGACTCTTGATTCCTTTCATGACTGGGTTCAACTTTTCCCAAAAATAGCTACCTAGAAAGCTTTCTGGAAATCGCATACTTTTCTACTGCATATAAAATAAGGTCTGGGTCAAATGTCCCATTTTCCCAGCTTCACAAACAAAAGCACAGGGTAGAGTGAGTGTGGATGGGACACTTGTACTCAAGGGCCACGGGGCCACCTGGAGAAAAAGGTCAGTTGAGGGCTACACACACTGGGATCTTGGGGGTCTGTAAGGAAGAGAGTTGAACAGTTCCTTTTAAAAGCAGGAGCAGAAGATATGTGTTTAAAAAGTAAATTACATAAAAAATCTAGCATTCTCTGTAATAGCAGGGGTGGGGGTGGGATGCTATGCCAGTGAAGGGGTTAGAGGAAGAGAGAAACAAGAAAGATAAAGGGCTGGAAAAAGATACTAGTCAGGAAGTGGCCCAGGCCTTTCTGAAGTGCTGGTAAACTTGAACTCCACGTCTGGGGTCTGCTTACTCTTCCTGATCTAGGCTCAGTGTAACTGGCTCATTACCGTTTATCCTTGGGCTTTCGGAGGCTCTGAAGGAGCTGGCCACAGCCACCCAGCAGCCTGTGCTGAATCAGGGGCAGGGGGCAGCTGGCTGCTAAAGGAAATACCTTTGAAGAAGGTTGCCTGAGAACAGGAGTCTCCCATTGTCTTCTCACTAATGAGCGATGGCTCCTGGTCAGTGTTAAAACAGAAGCGACAGCTGGGCCCCTGGACTTACTGCCAGACATCCCACACAGTCCCGGGGGAGAGACGCAGCTTGGGCCCCCCGGCCCCATCCCACGCCTCCCTTGGAGGCCACACCTGCAGGATGCCTGCCCTCTTACTGGCCAGGGCAGCATGGGATGGGGTGGGGGTGAGGGAGGTTGGGAGGGTGAGGTTTCTGGAATAACCTAGGCCCTGGGAAGGCTGACTCGGGGCGCCTCCCTGGAGTTCCTGACAGAAGAGGGAGCTGTGTACGCTGCTCAGTACAGATCTCCTCTCCTGGGAGAACCTGGACGGAGGGCAATATGCGTGGGAGGCAGGGGGCTGGGGGGGCGGCTGGCCCTACCAGGGGCTCCCGGGGCCCTGTCCGGTACTGGCAGGGGGCTAGGAGGGAACCCTGCACTTGGGACTCAGCCAGCCCCACTCGCCGTGACCCTGAGGGAGTCTGTTTTCCCCGAGACTAGGCAAATCCAGGGACAAATCTAGGGGGCGGGGCTCCAGGGCCACTCTGACTCTGGACTGCTAAGTTGGTTTTTTCTTCCTTCATTTTTTTCTTTCTGGGGCTGAAAGGGTGGGACCGGGCCGGAATGGGTTGGCCTCAGGCCAGCCTGTAGTGCATGGGTTCTTGACTTCGTGCAGGAAAGATTTTATAACACAAGTGCAGGTGATCTTGAGAGGACGTTTATTAAAGCAGGGGACAGTGACACAAAGGAAGGATGTAGGATAGAAGCAACACCAGGAGAGCCCAGGTGGAGCTCTGCTGCATTTTTTCAGAAATGTTAGAGGAAAGGAGTGAGTGAGCCACGCTGGCTGCATGAACTCAGTGAGAAGTAAAAGTCACAGGGACAGCAGTGAACCGAGGCGGCTGCTGTCAGCTCACTGGGAGTCGAAGAAGAGGGCGCCTCATCAGGGGGCGAGCCCGGGACGAGCTGCCACTGCCCGCTGCTGCCCTGGTGGCAAGCTTCCTAAACCCCTGGAGTTCAGGAAGGACAGCGCAAACAGACACATGCCTACGGCAGAAAGGCATGGCCATTCTCTAGAGAGAGCCTTTTCCTTAATTTTTTAATTGTAGTAAAACATGCATCACGTTTACCATTTTAGCCGCTTTTTAAGTGTACAGTTCCATGGCATCAAGTGTATACACACTGTTGGGCACTCATCACCGCCATCCAGCTCTAGAACTTCTTCATCTTCCCAAACTAAACTCCACCCCCCTTAAACACTAACTCCCCACCCCCCTCCCCCAGCCCACGGCACCCACAGTTCTGCTTTCTCTATAAACATGACTCCTCTAGGGACCTCACAGAAGTGAAAGCACACAATATTTGTCCTTTGGTGACTGACTTGTCACTTAGCGTGTCTTCTGGGTTCATCTCTGCTGTAGCCTGTGGCAGAATTTCTTTCCTTTTTAAGGCCAAATGAGTGTTGACTCTGATTCCCTCTCATTTCCCCTGAAACTGCCCTGGCAGCATGCAGAGCCCAGGCACGTGCAAAGGCACACGGGCACACTCACTAGGACGCAGAGGGGCACACCCGTCAAAAAAATGCAGTCAGCGTCTGAGGCATGTGCCTCCACACGTGGACACACCCACCACCAAGCACCAAGCACACTTCACCTCAGCACCAAGATTTGAGCACACAGACACGCACTCAGAAACACGCGCTGTCAGAGGTCACGAGAACACTCAGACAGACACAGCCTGGCGCACACGGCATGTGCACAGCCTCATGTACACAGCACACACACAAACTCACAGAGCAGAGCGATGGCTACCACCCCAGGGTTTCCCGCCTCGCAGTCCTTTCCCTCTCCTACCCTGTGTCTGTTCTGGGGCCACCCCGGTGCCCAGACGACTCCCGGGAGCCCCAGGACCATGCCCTGGAGCTGAGGCGCTGCAGGAGCAGGTCAGCTTCCCTGCTCCCTTGGCCCTGATTCACCCGGGCCAGGCCTGGGGATTCACTGAGGCAGAGGACGGAGCCAGCCCCACCCAAGGGACCTCTGGCCAGTTCTATCCCTCGGAGTGACAGGGTGAGATGTGACCGTCCAGGGCCCCAGACCAGGGCTCCGGCTGGGGCGAGGGGCTGGGCCGGTCCGTGGAGAGCAGGGCCGTTCCTGGGGCTGTGCGGGCGCCGCTGAGCCTGTGCTTCTGTGCTCTCAGAAGCCAGCAAGGTGGGTCCCTGGCCTCAGACCAAATCCTGATGCACCAGCAAACAGCTTTTTCTGGAACAGTGGCTGGGGCCATGTGACCTAGCCCTCTCTGGGCCTCCACTTAAGGGCCTAGGGGCCCGGCAGAAGGCTCAAAGTGGTTAAGCGACTCACCCAGCTCCATTTTAATGGAGGCTGGATCAGAACTCAGTCTGCCTATACAACTGTGCTTGTGGCCGCTCGGCAGTAGCCCCAGGGTGGCTGCTCCTAGGCTGGAGCGGGGGCAGTGGGCCTCCTAGGTTGGCGGGGGCGGGTCCTCACCATGAGGCTGGTCACCACGCCAAGCAGCCAAGAACCTGGCTGCTCTGAGACTGGGCTGTGGGGGACAGGACGGTGGTCCTGGCATTTCTTGGCCACACTGACCGAGTTGCCGCGCACTGTGGGAGGCCCCCCATCACCCACTGCTGGTGAACTCAAACGTGTCCTTCCAGGGGCGTGCGTGCAAACCCTGTGACGCTCCCCCACCTGACACGCTGAAGGCGGCGCTCAGGTCTCTTACTTGGTCGTGGAACAAAGTTGGGAGTAAGAGCCGGAGTAAAAGTTGTGCCCCTAAACAGAAGCCGTCACAGTGGTGTCCTCGGAGCAGGGCCTGGAGAGCAGGTGTGAGTATGCGGACAAGAGCCAGCGCCCCGCAGCCCATGAGGCGGGGGTATGAGTCATCTTACTGGGAGGGAACAGGGGCTCAGTGTGGCGGGAACACCCGCCTGGGGAGAGTTCGCAGTGGCAGACCTGGGATTAAAACCCAGGTCCCAATAGAATAAAATAATAACAATAAAAACAGAAACCGGGGCCCATCTCCTGTGACATCCACGCCCTCCCAGGATACAGCTACCACCCCGCCTGGCCTTGGTCCCTGGAAACCTGCCCCCCCCCCCGGCCCCGCGCCCTGCGCTACATGTAGCAGCTGGTTAAGGGGAAGGAGTGGGGGGGTGGGTGCTGGAGCCAGCCTGTCGGGGATGGAACCTGAGCTCCCATTTATGAGCTGGGCCACAGAGCCACAAAGGTCACCCCCCCTCTTCCGTTTTGTGTTTTCTCATCAGTAAACCAGGAACCATAAAGGTCCCTCTCGTGGGCCTGTGGGGAGGACCCAGTCAGTACGGGCGGAGCATGTGGAAGGGGCCCCGGTGTCCAGTGAGCGCTCCATAGCCGAGCTCTGACCTGAGCCCCTCCCCCTGCCGGAGCCTGACGCGCGCCTCCCGAGTCCACGTAGATTCAGGGCCCTAGAAAGGTGGGTCTGCAGGGGCAACAGGCTGTAGGACAGTGTATCTTGCAGGTCAAGTCCTGGCCAATCTATGGCTGAGGAATGAGACACAGTGGGGGTGGGGTAGCATTCCTAGCCACTCTCCAAAGATTCTAGAATGTTCCAGATCAGAAAGAGGATGGAGCAGGGCTGCTGGGGTGGTCTTGGTCTGCTCTGAAAGCCTTTGCTGAGGAGGTGGCAGTAGGCTGTGGAGAGGGAGTGAGGGGACATGCCTCCGAGGGCAGCCCAGGAATTCCTCCCTCCCTCCCCCAGGTGGGAAGGCAGAGCAGGACCTCAGGCCCAGCCTTATGACGCTCCTTCCCATCCTCTCCCCAGCACTCCTCACAGGAGACCAACAGGCAAGCACTGTCAGTATCCCCATTTTACGAATGGGGACACCAAGGCGCAGAGGCCAAAGGGCACAGAGCTCTGGACGTGGCCCATCCAACTCCTGCCCACGCGGCAGAGCCCAGCTCCAGGACAGGTGCCCCTAGGAGGCTGCCGCATCTCCCCAGCACACCCGCCAGGGTCTCCTCCACCCAGCGCCCTGGCTTCGCGAGTGTCACTGACCTGGCCGTGGCCCCAAAGCGGCCAGGCCCTCTGGCTCTTGGTCCTCTCTCCACCACTGGGTTCCAGCCGTTCTCAGCTGTTCCATGAGAAGCCCGTGGCAGCTCGGGGCCCTCAGGAAGACACAGGCGGGCTGCCAGCACTCCCACCTCTGCGCGGTGCCTGGCAGCCCCCGCTCCTCCCCCAGGGAGGGGCAGGCCACTGTAGCAGTGCTGGGAAGGGACTTGGGGGTGGGATATTGTAGGAAACGCCTACAGAGCCCAGACAGGTCACCCATCATTAAGCAGCAGGGCTACCATAGCAGCCAGTGTGGTGGATGGAAGCAGACAGCGTGTGGGCTCTGGAGCCAGGTCTTCCAAGTTCATGGCCAGCACCCTCTGGGCCCTGCCCTCACACCAGAGCCTCAGGATCTGCCCTGCCTCTCCCCAACTCCCACCCAGACACAACCCCACCCTCCAAGCCCAAAAAGGAAGACCCTGTCACTCAAGGGCTCCAAGAAAGTCCCTTTATATCACCCATATTCAGCCTCAGTTTCCTCATCTGCAAAATAGGTTAACGCTACTACCTGCCTCATAGGGTTGCTGTCTGATGGCCACACTGAGCTATATCCCAATGGCTGCCCTGGCACACCTGCGCCCACAGCATCTCTTGCCCTCTGCCCTGGCCATGCCCACCCTTTGGGACCCATCAGCTCATCCCTTAGCACCCCCACGCCCTCCTCCTGGGAGGCTTGGCCTTCCCCTTCCCCGTTAGGGATCATAGTGAAGCTACACCAGATTCCCCTGGCTTCCCTGCTGTGCCCTGCAAGGCCCCCTTAGAATAAAACCCAAGTGCTGCTTCCAGGGGCACCGAAGCCCAGTGGAAGCAGCCCTGGTACCCCATGGCCTAACCGCCTGCCCCCGCCCCACTGCTCGACTCCAACCACGCAGAAACTTGCTGTTCCTTGACTCTGCAGAGCAGGGTCCCACCTCAGAGCCTGTGCTCCAGCTGGTCCACCTGCCAAGGAACACCCTCCTTGTAGAGGTGTGGCTCACAGCTGTATCTCCAGACGTGAAGACAGAGTTTGGCACTTAGGACATGCTCACTGCGTATCTACTGATGGGTTTAATAATTCAATAATTGAAGAATGATTGAATGGGCCCTGGCTGGTGTGGCTCAGTGGATTAACTGCCAGTCTGTGAACCAAAGGGTCACTGGTTCAATTCCCAGTTAGGGCACACACCTGGGTTGCTGGCCAGGTCCCCAGTGGGGGTGCCAGAGAGGCAACCACACATTGATGTTTCTTTCCCTATCTTTCTCTTTCCCTTCCCCCTCTCTAAAAATAAATAAAATCTTAAAAAAAAAAAAAAAAGAATGAATGAATGGAATAAACAGCTAAGACACCCAAGTCACAGTGTGGCATGTGGTGAGGAGCATAGACTGTGGGTTAAAATCCCATATCTAACTTTTAATTTCAACTCACGTTGCTTCTCTCAGCCCCTGTTTCCTCATCTGGTGGGAGTAATGACAGTGGCACCTGCCTATAAGGGTATCCTGAGGACTAAAGAGAGTGTATCTGTAAATCTGGCTTCGGAGCCATCATGGGTGCTTGGCGCCTGGCCCTGGTATACTTCTGACCATGGAGTATTGTGACCCCTTGGGACAGAACACAATCTTTTGCAGCAGCCAGGCCTAACCCCTCCCTGGCTGGCTCAGACTCTCTATGACTCTTGGACAAACCTGGCCCAGGGCCCGGAGCATTCTCCCCAGGGTACCCGCTTTGTATCCCAGGATGGCCATAGGCTGACCTAATGGCACAGGAACTCTGGGAATTTCCTGGCAGGAAGGCTTCTGTTGCCTGGACATGAAAACAGCTGATGGGCGGCCAGGGCTGGTGGAGGTGGCTTTAGGAACACCGCTCTGGCAAGACGGCCGCCCCACCCCCAACCTGTGCTCCAGGACCTGGGACAGGAGCCCCGGGGTCTGGGCTCCACGACACAGGGCCAATGGGCCCATTATGGACAAAGACTGGGGTCCCCCAACCCCAGCCACCTCATAAGTCCTTTGGCCTAAACAGACCAGGTATTTCTAGCAACTTCAGCCTGATGTTTGGGGCCTTGAGGAAGCTAAGAGATGGCTTAATGCAACTCTTTCTTGCTACAGACATAGGTAGAACCAGACAAAGTCACTCAGCAAAGTGCTTGGCTGTCCCAATGCACTATATAGTTTGCAGGGCCCACCCATACTTGTCAGCCAGCAACATATACTGACCAGGAACAATGACATGATAACCCTGGGGCCACTCAGTTGAGAAGGCCCAGTCCTGTGCTCAGCCAGCTCGCTGTCTGGCCCGGCTCTCCCCATTTTACAAAGAAGGAAACTGAGGCTCAGAGGAATGACATGCCTGGTTGAAAGTCACTCAGGGCCTCTGATGGCTGAGCCATGACCCAGACCCAAGTAACAGACAGACTGTTTTTAAGAAACAAGAAACAGAACTTCATTGGTGAGGAATCGGTAAGAAAACTCTCAGATGGAGTTCTCAGGGTCAAGAGCTAACTGTAGGATGGGGTTCCCATCGGGGAGGCTCCCCAGCACAGGTCTGGGGAACAAGGAGGAAAACGCAGTTAATAAATGCTCTCCAGCCCTGGCTGGTGTGGCTCAGTGGGCTGAGCACCCGCCCCACTTGCAAACCAAAAATGTCTCTGCTTCGATTCCCGGTCAGGGCATGTGCTTGGGTTGCGGGCCAGGTCCTCAGCTGGGGGTTTGTGAGAGGCAACTGATCGATGTATCTCTCATACACTGATGTTCATCTCCCCCTCTTTCTCCCTCCCTTCCCCTCTCTCTAAAAGTAAACAAATAAAATATTTAAAAAAATAAATACATAAATGCTCTGTTGCCTGCTTCTCAGCAGCCTCTATCCTGCCTTATGGATCAGAGGTTGAAAAAGGCCAGAGCAGACAGCCATAGGATCCTCGAGGGGCGGCCAGGGCTCAGCCAGGCTGAGGAGGGAGGGGCTGCGGCACCTTATACCCACATGCCCTGACAGAAGTGCACACATGTGCAATGTGCACAGACACATGCGGTGTTCGCACACATACAGGCCTGTGCATGGTCACACACTCACTGGCCCATAGTAAGCTTCAGATCTGTGGCCACCACCCAGGCCTCCGCACTTAAGGACAAGGCTTTCTGTCAGTTTCTAGACTTTTAGGAGTCTTCTGACCCTAACCCCTCAGTGTCCTAGGGTGGAAGTGGGGAAAAAAAACCTCTTTCCTCTAAAACAGGGATTTTCAACCCATGTGCCGCAAGAATCTTTAAAACACACAATACCTGGCTATTGAGTCAGGAGCACTGACCTCTTTTCCCTTAGATTGTCAAATAAAAATATAACAGCAGCCAACACAACAATAGCTGTCTGGTGTGAATGAATCAAAATTATACCTACGTTTTGTCAGATCAGCAAAAAAATCTATTTTTCTGGTGCGCCGCTGAGTATTAGTAGCTCACGTGGGCCAGGAGACGAAAAGGGCTGAAAACCATTGTTCTCAAAGAGTCCTACGGAGAGCACGCAACCCGTGGGAGAAGCCCGTGGGCAGAGGGCAGGTGGCCTGGCAACAGGGACACTGATCCTCTTGGGACAGGACAATCTCTTCTGCTGCCTCAAGTTCTGAATCTTGAAGACCTTCCTGGCACTCAGTGCCCCAACTCCTATACCCCCTCTGGGGCATTTCAGGAAAGGGGTTGATGAGGAGTCCCGGTTGGCCGCACCGCCACTGGACTCATGCCAGACGGTCTCACTTGGACCAGGCCCCACGCCTCCCTGGCCAAGACATGTCTAGACATGGGCCAGGAAGGGGAAGTCAGGGTCTCCAGGGGCCAGCCTGTTCCTGGGGTGATTGTGCTTCCCAAGGAGGCCCACCCAGCCTGGCTGGCAAAGTTCTCCCACAGGCAACTGGCAGCCCAGGAGAGGTGAGTCACTGACCCTCACTGACTGACATTTACAGCAGCTCTTGGGCAAGCCGCATACCTCTGGGCCCGGCTCAACCTTTGCTGCCCAGCCCCCAGCCTCTGACGGCACATCCTTGCCCAGCGCCTAGGGTCCCTGTCACCAGCATGCGGGGCCTTGTCTCGGGGAGCCCAGAACTGAGAGGAGGAACCTCCGAGCACCACGGAGGACCCTCTTCCAGGGCATGCTCTTTCCGCCATGACACACCCACCTCTGAGAGCCCCTTCCTCCAGCACAGCCCGGCTCCAGCCCAGCCCTGGTCCATGGCCCGATGTGCGGGTCTCCATGCAGGGACGTGGCCCCCTTACTCCTCATGTGGCCCCAGCCAGTCCATCCCAACTCCGAGTCACCGGCCAGGAGGTCAAAGGTCAGCTAGGGAGGGTGCTAAGGCCCCGCCGGCGAAGGGGGGCACAATGCCTACCGTCAGGCCCCAGCGAGCCTCAGGCTCCGCCCCGCCGGCGGCGGGTTTCCTTACCGTGGCGTCCTCAGCGCCGTGGTGGCCGATGAGGCGGCTGCCCCCCGGGTGCCGCTGTGCCCAGCGGCTGATGTCGTAGACGCGGCGCTCGATGACCAGCCACATGTCGCCCGGCAGGTTGTGCGGGCGGATCTGCTCCCAGTGAAAGGTGGGCAGCGGCGCCCCAAGCCGCGCGGGCCCCTCGCGCGGCCCCGGCCCCCCGCCGGGCTCCCCGACGCCGCCCATGGCTGCGTGCACAAGTCCTCGGGCACCGGGGACCTTTCCGAGGTCCCCGCGACACACGGAGGGGAGCGCGGTGGTGTTCCCCCGGGCTCCCTCCGCCGCCACCCGCTCCTCCGCGGCCCCGCCTCGCTGCTGCAACCGCCGTACGAGCGTGCGCCGCTCGGCTCTCCCTTCCGCGCAGAACTTTCCTCCCTTATAACCGCGCCGGCGGCTCGCCGGCCGTCCGCCCCCGTCCCGGCCCCGCCGCCCGCCCCGCGCTCCAATCCCGGCGCAGCGCCCGGGCCCCCATTGGCTGCGGGGCGCTCGGGCCGCCCGGGGAGGACAGTGTCGAGGCGGGCCCGCCCCGCCCCCAAGCCCGTGGCCACCGCGCCCGGCCGCTTAACCCGGGACTCCGGCGCTGCCCCGGGCTCTGTCGGCTCGCGGGCTCCCGGCTCAGCGGGACGGGAACGGGAGGGACAGGGACAAACAGCCACACCCAGTGTCCGCTGCTACCTCGGGGGCCCGCGTCTGCGCCTGGCAGGCCTGGAACAACAATGAGGATAACGGGCTTCCTTCCACGCATCCTTGAACATTAAACCTTAAGCGCACTGAGTTGGAGACGCAACCTCGGGGTGACGGGGTGACCCTAACCAGCACTCAAGCAATGGACTGCCAACGTCTGCCCTACGAGGCCGCCTTCAGGGCTGAGGGCCTGGCCCCATCTGTGGCCGGTGGTCTTCCTGTTGTTGAGGCTGTAGGGCTGAGGAATGTTGAGGGGTGGCCACCGGGGCAAAAGGGTGGAGGGGCACTAGAGTTCGGAATCGGGCACTGCCACTCAGTGCTGGACTGGCTTGGCTGGTTGGCTTGCTTATTATCGTTCCTGACTCTTATTTTTTACTCAAATAAACTCCAGTTCTTTTGACGGTGTGAGTTTTCTACAAATGACTTCATATTTCTTTGAGATAAAGACTATTGTTCCTAAAAGTTCACACCCTGAGGCAGATGAAGTCAGGCTGGGGTTATGCTTCAGGGCAGTGGCATCAGATTTGATTGCACGTCAGAATTACCAGGGGGCTTGTTAAGGTAGGACTGCAGGGCTCCCAGACTGGGATTCAGCAAGTCGGAGAAACGCATTTCTAACAAGTTTCCAGCTAAAGCTGATGTGCTGGTTCAGAAATGCACTTTGAGAAACTTAAGTACAGCTGGCCCTTGAACAACAAGGGTTTTGAACTTTGTGGGAGGATTATTCCCCCACCCCCGCAGTGAACGTACGGTCAGCTCTCCACATTTCTGGGTTTCTTCTCTGAGGATTCAACCCACTGCAGATGGAAGGAACAGAGTATTTTCCCTCCCGGGTTGGGAATTCTAGGATACAGAGGGCCAACTGTATCCATAGTTCTACACTGTTTTACATAAAGGAATTGAGCATCCGTGGATTTTGGTATCCATGGGAGTCTTGGAACCAATCCCCTGAGGATACCGCAGATGACTGAAATTTTGGGGGACTCAAAAGTTGTACGCAGATTTTTGACTGCGAGGGCATAGGTGCACCCTAGTCCCTGTGTTGTGCAAGGGTCTGATATGCTACCGTTTTATCTCGGTCTAACTATTGGTAGGTAGGATATCATTGTAGCTAATATTTGTGGGGTAGACACACAGGGCCCAGAAGAAGGGCTGAGGAGTCCTCTGGGTTCTCACGGGTACCAGAAATACATGCTTTGGTTGCCAGGACAACTGATGCCGTGAGGTCATCACCAGCGGGGCTGCCTGAGCCCTTTCCACTGTGGTGTCCCCAAACCTGCTCCAGAGCCTGTGTGTGTGCGTGCGTGTGTGTGTAGCGGGGGCAGAGCAGAGGAGTGTGACTGGCAGCTGAGGCTGGAGGCCACTGAAGGTCCCCCTGCTCCCGCCGTGTTCACACAGGGGCACGAGGGCAGAGGAGGCAGCCTCTTGGAGGAAATAAACCTCCTGTACCAAAATATAGCGATATAAGCTGATGATTGCCAAAGGGGGAGGGATGGGTGAAAAAAAATAAACCAAAACACCCTGGGGTGGAGGAGTCCATGTTGGCACCCCCTCCTTCCGGCAGATGTGGGTCAGCAAGCGGCAGGGGGAGGAGTCACCCCCTTTCCACTGCAAATGCCTCTAAATGATGCAACTGCCTAGTGTTTGTTGCAGAGTTCATTCACAAGTATAACTTTGCCCTGGAAAAATATATACACTTATGCCAAAAAAATGGATTAAAGTACTAAACATAAGACCTGAAACCATAAAGCTCCTTAAAGGAAACATGGGGGAGCCCTGGCTGGTGTGGCTCAGTGGAGTGAGCACCGGCCTGTGAACTGAAAAGTCGTTGGTTTGATTTCCAGTCAGAGCCCAGGCCTGAGCTGTGGGCTGGGTCCCAGGTTTGGGCCTAGAGAGAGGCAACTGGTGCATTCTCTCACACATCAATGTGTCTCTCCCTCTCTTTCTTACTCCCCCCCTCTCTCTAAAAACAAATAAAATATTAAAAAAAAAACACAGTAGAGAAGTTCCTTGACACTGGTGTTGGAGACAATTTTGTGGGTATGACACCAAAAGCACAGGCAACAAAAGCAAAAATTAACGAGTGGGACAACAGCAAACTAAAAAGCTTCTGATCAGCGAAAGAATCAACAAAATGAAAAGGTAACCTACAGAATGGCAGAAAATATTTGCAAATAAAATATCTGATAAGAGGTGAATATCCAGAAACCACAAAGAACTCATGCAGCTCAAGAGCAAAAAAAAAAAAAAAAGAAAGAAAAAAAAGCGAACAATCTGATTTAAAAATGGGCAAAGGAACTGAATAGATTTTTCCAAAGAAGACATAAAAATGGCCAACAGGTACATGAAAATGTGCTCAACAGCAGAGAAATGCAAATCAAAACCACAGTGAGCTATCGCCTCATGCTTGTTAGAATGGCTCTCCCCAAAAAGACAAGCGGTAACAAGTGCTGGCGAGGATGTGGGGAAGGGAACCCTTGCACGCTGTTGATGGGAATGTAAATTGGCGCAGCCACTGTAGAAAACAGTATAGAGACTCCTCAGAAATTAAAAATGGAACTACCATATTGTCTGGTAGTTCCACTTCTGGGTCTATACTCAAAGGAAATGGAAACATGATCTTGAAGAGATATCTGCACCCCCCATGTTCACTGCAGCATTATGCGCTGTAGCCAAGACATGGAAACAACTCTAGTGTCCATCAGCAGATGAAAGGACACAGAGGATGTGCGCTAATACGGGATATTACTCAGCCATGAAAAAGAAAGAAATCCTGCAATTGTGACAACATGGTGAACCTGGAGGGCATTATGCTAAGTAAGTCAGAGAAAGACAAATACTGTAGGATCTCACTTGTATGTGGAATTTAAAGAAGCCCAACTTACAGAAACAGGGTAAAATGGTGGTTAACAGGCAGAGGAACATAGGAAATGGGGAGATGTTGGTAAAAGGGTAAAATCTTTCAGTTATGAGATGGGTAAGTCACGAGGATCTAATATACAGTGTGGCGATTATAGGTAATGCTATATTATATACTTAAAAGCTGCTAAGAGAGTAAATCTCAAATGTTCTCATCCAGCCGCTCCATGGCAGCATGGCTCCCACGCCGTCTTCAGCAGCCCGCAGGCGTCAGATGCCGACCCCTGACGCCTGACCTGGGCCCTGGCCTGCTCTCAGCTCATGTGTGAGGCGGCTGGGGGCAGTCCGATCCTCTCCCTACCCCAGCTGCACCTGGAGAGATGAGGCAGACAGAGGCCTGGCAGGGTCCCTTGGAGGTTAAGCAAGGACAGGGCTCCATGCTGCGCCTCCCTCCAGGCTGCTCATCCTAGCAAAGAGAGAGAAGTGGCCAGGCCCTCCTGCCACCAGAGTGTGTTCCCATAAAGGCTGAATTGTGTCTCCTCCCTGCAGCGTCCCCCATGATTTCTCTGCAGCCGTCGATAGGTCGCTTTACCTCTCTGGGCTGCAACCCGGTGGGTCTTGCAAGTCTCCTGGAGTTGGTGTGGGGGGGGCGCGGAACTTGGGCCTTCATTGTCCCCAAACCCCTGTCAGGGCAACCAAGCCCTTTCTGACCACTTGGAAAGGGAGAGGCATCACTTGACATTCCTGAGCTGCCACTGAGCCACTGCCAGAATGTTTGGCTTAGGTGGGGAGGGGACTAGCTAGCCAAAGCTAGGCAAGGGCGGGGGGTCCTGCCCAGCTGGAGCATTTTGGTGGGGGTCTCAAATACAGCCGTTGTGTCAGCCCCTGCCTGGCTTCTCCCTACCACGAGCTACCACACAGGGGTCTTGTTGGACACACTGGAATCTTCGCCCCTGTGGAGCTGCGAGCCACTGTCCTGGAGCCAAGTGATGCTTGAGCAGGCTGGGGGGGGGGGGGGGGGGGGGACACGGGGCATGGCTGGAGCAAGCCCTATGGGCGCAGCAGTGGCCCAGGCAGGCAAACATATGATGAGAAAGCACTGGGCCTCCCAAAAGGAGCAGTCACAAAGCCCAGACATCTGCTCTGTAGCCGATACAAAAAATGGACAAGTCAGAGCTCTAGGATTTACCTTTGAGTTCAAGCTCACCACACTGCAAGCTTGATTATTAGTCCCTGGACACAGCTCTTCCCTGACACGGGGATGTCCAGGGTGGCAGGGCCCACAGAATCCTTCAAGAGCTGTGGCCCTACCAGCCACCAAAGTCTTTCCCTGGAGGTATTGCTATGATGGCGCAGCACAGCTCCTTAGCATGGATGCTCCTTAGTAAAAAGAGGCCGTGTACAGATGGCCAAGAAGCACGTGAAAAGATGCTTAACATCATTAATCATCACAGAAATGCAAATCAAAGCCACAATGAGATATTACCTCATAGTATGACCATTATCAAAAGACACCAACGTAGTAAGTGTTGGGGAGGAAGTGGAGAGATTGGAACCCTTTGCACGCTGTTGGTGGGAATGTACATTGGCGCAGCCCCTATGGAAGAAGTATGAGGTTCCTCAAAAACTTAAAAATAGAACTACCATATGATCCAGCAGCTTTACCTCTAGGTAAATACCCAAAGGAATTGAGAGCAGGGTCTCAAAGAGATATCTTACACTCCATGTTCATAGCAGCATTATTTACAACAGCCAAGAGATGGAAACAACCCAAGTGTCCATCGATGAGCCCACTGCACTCACTAGCATCCTAGCTTCTTACTAAACCCCTGCTGCACACCTGCTGCTGAATCAGGCCCTTCCCTGTTTTTCAGAGATGTATACACACAATGGAATATTATACAGCCTTAGAAAGAAATATTGTCCCGTGCTGCCACATGAATGACACTTGCCAGTCACAAAAAGACAAATGCTGCATGATTCCACTTAAAGCATCTAAAGTAATCAACTTCATAGGAACAAAAAGCAGAATGGTGGTTGCCCGCGGTGAGCAGAGGGGAGCCGCTTAGTGAGTGCAGTTTCAGTTGGGCCAGGTGAGAAAGCTCCGTATCATAACAGTGTGAATATAATTAACACAACTGATCTGCCCACTTAAAAATGGTTAGGGTGGTAAACTTTACGGGGTTTTTTTTTTTAAACACAATAAAAGAAAGAAAGAAGGGGGGGGGCAAAGAAGAGAGACAAAGGTCACTTAGTTTGATCTTCCCAACTCACAGAGGAGAAAACTGAGGCCCAGAGAGGAGTGACTTGCCCGGGTACACGGCCCTGGCAGGATCAAATCATGACAAGCTTGGCAGGTTGGGAAATGTGGCAGCACAGTGATGCGTAGGCCACTGTGTGGCTGGGCTCAGGCTCACCGGTTGTGGTCGGTACTAACTTTCAAGAGGTGGCTACAGCCCTGGCTGGCGTGGCTTAGTGGATTGAGCTCTGGCCGATGAGCCAAAAGGTTGCTGGTTCAATTCCCAGTCAGGGCACAGGGCTGGGTTGGGGGCGTGCCGGAGGCAACCAATTGTTTCTCTCGCACATTGATATTTCTCTCCCTCTTTCTCCCTCCCTTCCTCTCTTTCTAAAAATAGGTAAATAAAATCTAAAGAAAAAAAAAAGAAGGTGGCTCTATGTGCCAGGGTCAAATGGATTATCTAGAAAATCCACTTAGGGGGAACAACTTTCATGTGGCTGATGTCAGCTCACTGTCCTCTCCTAACTCCAAGAGTCAGATCCCCTGAGCTTCTTCGGAAGCCGCTCACCCTACCCCAAGCCAGGATAACAAGGGTAGGGGGAGCTGTCATGGGGTAAAAATATGGGGTACAAACCGATTCAACCCTGCCACTGCCTGCGCCTCAGTGTTTCCATCTCCGAAAAACAGGGAAGGGCCTGATTCAGCAGCAGGTGCGCGGCAGGTGTTTAGTAAGTGTCTAGGATGCTGGTGAGGACTGTGGGCTCCAGAGCTGGGCTCATTCATTCCTATCGTGGGGCGACCGTTTTCTCTGTGGGACCTCTCAGTGCCTCAGTCAATTCACCTGCAAAGAGGGAGAAGCAGTACCTCCGCAGGTTGCTGTGAGGATTCAATGAGCTCGTTCATTTAAAGGGCTTAGAGCCAGGTGTGGGACAGGACGGATGCCCAGACACAATTATTGACGGGAGAACATGGGGCCAGAGTGTGTGAGTCCCCGTTCCCCGCACACACCCCTGGGTATCCCAGCCATTGTTTGCTGCTGACGCTCCCACGTGGGCCTGACAACAGAAGTGTCCTCTCTCAGCCGCGTCATGTGTCTCAGGAGTAGACAGAGCACGTGTGGATTGTGGGACCTTCTGCCAGGCCTTGGATATGTTGCCTGGTGTTTCCTTGGCCCTGATGTTCCTGGGCCAGAGGCACGGGCGCTGGGGGCAGGGAGGGGCTGTAGAGGGCCCAGACCTTCATCCTCCTTTGTCCTTTTTTGCTACCACAGTCCCTGCCTGTGCTGCTCTCAGGCATCACCAGTCCACCCTGCCACTGGCCCACGAGCGCAGGGCAGCCTCTATGCTTTGGGCTCCGGGCTTCCATTAGACTGAGGCAGCAGGGAGACTGGCGGGCGATCTGCCTCAGGCCCTCGGGAGGCAGCTAGCGGCCAGAACCAGCCGTTTTCCCTGACAGCAGCCGCTCCCCAGGGGAGAGGGAGCCGGGCTCATCCCCCAATGACCCACAGCCTCATGGAATCCCGGGGAGGACTCACGTAGTCCTCCCTACAGCAATCCCTTCAGGATTTGGGTTTAATCTCAAGCACGAGGGCAGGTGGGCAAGGAAAGGATTTGGTTTCATTCCTTTAGATGCCCAAGCCTTGGCCTGAGCCCCAGGGCGCAGGAGTAAAGGCGCGTGGCCGGCCGGCCTCTATCAACAAAGGCTTCCTTTATTAAATAGAGATGGCGCTACATTCCATTCAGAGGAGGAAATCGGATGTGCTGAGGGATGTGCCCAGGTTGTACCCCGGCCCCGAGTGGGCTGTGAGGGGTGAGGAGGGGCCGGGGGCCTGCCCGTCCCACCCCAGTCCTGCGTGCAGTCCTGCTTGGCAACCTCAGCCCCTGCTGTCTGAATGGCCACCCACAGATGAAAACATGCCTGGTGTCCTGAGGTCCTGTCTGTGTTTCACTTTGGGAGAAAAGTGCCCCAGCCCTTCCAGCAGGGGTGGGGGCATGGAGTGCTGGAGCACAGGGCTCAGATAGGGAAGGTGGAAGGTCAAGTGCGCGTGTGGGCGGGCCTTGATCCATCTTAGGAACTTTGGGGCAGTTCTCAGGCAGATGCCAGTTGGCATGGAAGCCCCTGCCAGCCTCTCCTAGCACCGCTGCCCCGTGGGCACTTAGGATAGCAGGCTCACTGGGCAGTCCAAAGGGGAGGCCACCTGGGAATAAGGTGAGGGATGGCCACAAGGGGGTGCTGGTGGCTCAGGGCTTGGGAACTCAGGAAATCAGGCCACCACCCAGCAAAAGTTTCTTTCTGAGGAAATGGCAGCAATAACATCCCTGCAGGCAGCCGCTCCCGGGGCTGGGGGTGAGGGGTGCTGGCTGCCCTGGGTGTCCCCTCCAAAAAGCTGAGCCCCTGAGTATGGGTCCAGGCTCCTTGGTCTTTGGTGCTTTCTAGAGCCTCCTGGTAGCTGTAGTACCACTGAGGAAGAGAGAAGGGTCAGCTCATGAGGTCCTTTCTGTCCTGGGATGGACGTTTGGTTCCAGCGCAGTGCTGCCTCCATGGCCTGGCCATTTGTCCCTCTGTTCAGCTTCTGGCTCAGGGCTGGCTGCAGGACCCTGTATTCCTGTCCATCTGTCAGTCTTGGGGCAAGTACTGGCTCCAGCTCTGAGCCCCGCTCCGGCCTGAGCCAGGCCCTAGGCCTCCTGGGGGAAGAAACCCAGCTTGGCCAGCGACATTTCCTTCCGCAGCCTTGTGATTTCCCAGAACATCGGCTCTGCTGTGGGCAGACAGAGAGTGAACAGCTTGGTGACAGCTCAGGGTCCTCTTAGGCAGGTGGCTTGGCCCCCTCCCCTCGCTATGGGCAGGGCAGCTGGCAGGCACTCTAGGGCTCCCCTGTTGCCCAGAACAGAGGACCTTGGCACGCGGCTGAGCCTCTCTCTGAGGCGCCCACCTGAGGTCTTGCACACTGCTGGACACACTCAAAGGATCTCTACTGTACTGGAGGAGGAGGTAACGGTCACTCCCACAGCCTGACACGGATACGCATGTGCACACTGCCACACATGCACACATGCTTTCCAACCTCACCTCTCTGGGGTCTCACAGCGACCTTGAGCAGGGAGCAGGGCCACCGTGTCAGTCCAGGTACCTGGAAGGAGGTGGCCCCTCAGGGCTTTTCACCTTCCAGAGAGACCTGACGCCCATGCTGGGGAGGAGAGGCTCAGACTCCACGGTGGCTCGGGACAAGACTTCATCATGGAACAAAGTTTGGAGGAGTGGGAAGGTAGGCTTTGCAGAACGGGGGGAGGGGGACAACGGGTGGATGGGGGACCTGCCGGGCAAGGGCACAGTGGGAGGCTCTCGTCCAGGGGACTGTAAGGAGGCTGCACTTGGAGGGGAGAGGATTCCCAGGGGAGGCCCTTCATGCGCATCCTGAAATGCCAGGCCAGTAACAGGGAGCTGTCTCTGAAGACCCCAGGGCGAGGAGAGGTTTCTGGGCAGAGGCAGCAGTCAGACCCAGGAACAGGGGTGGCAGTGGCCTAGCTTTCCTGGTAAGGCAGGGCCCAGGAGGCTCCTTCTGCAGCTCATCTCAGCACCAGGAGGCCTACCAGCGCTTTACTAACCCACAGTCTCCCGCCTCACAGAGTCTTGGCCTGAGATAGAGGCCGCAAAACCCTCTCTGGGTGATCGGGCAGCGTCCTGCGGGCCAACCCCATCCCCCTGGGGCGCCATTCCCCCATCAGCCACCAGGGGGTGCTCACCGTCCTGCCGCACCAGGCCTTGCTGGATGTAGCGGATGTAGGTGAAGAAGTTGCACACGGCAGTGATCTGTGGGAAGAAGGTGGAAGCGTGTGACCTGTCAGTCTTCAGAGATGGGGTCCCTCAAAAGCCAAGGCAGACTGGAGACCAGAGTGGGAAGCCCTATGTCCTGTCCCATCAGAGCCCGATAATGCTCCCTGAAATGAACAGGCCTGGGCTGTTCAATTCACAATAGCAGTGCTATTACCACTTCTAATAAAAGCAATAGCAGCAACTAACATTTAATCAAGTACACACGTCCACTGAGGCAGGCATGCTTATCATTCCCATTTTACATGTGGGGAAAATGGAGGCTCCGAAAATGAAGCCACCCAGCAAGGGCGGTGCAGAGAGCCAATAGCAGCAGGGAGGAAACATGAAACCAGGCAGCCTGTCTGGAACCCACGCTCACCCCTGGGGCCTGCTTGCTCTGGATGCTGCAGTGCCGGGGGCTCTTTGTAACGCCAGGAAAGACAGGGGATCAGAAGCTGCTCACCTGGCTGCCCCGGGTCCCCAGGCCCAAAGTCCCCACACCGGCCTGAGGCCTGTTCTGTGCCAGGCCCTGTGTTCAGACCTGAGCCCTGCTGTGCTGACTCGCACACCATGGAGAGGGCACAGCTAACGCCCTCTGGGGCCCCATTTCCTCGCTGCTAAGAGCATTGGCCACTAACGGCCCATAGGTGCCCCTATGCCAATGACTGACTGACTGGCAGTCGGGGTTGAGGGGCAATGATAAAAGGCTGGCTCCCCTGCCTCAGGGTGGAACCACCCTGGCCGCAGCCAGACTCCAGCTGAGGCTATACCCTGCTTTGCTCCACCACTTCCCCCCGCCCTCCAGCCCATCTGCCCTCACTAGCTCCTGAGACTTGCACAGAATTTTTCCTAGGCTCTGCTTCTAGGGAAACGCACCCTGAGAGAGGGTGGAAGGCAGCTGGCAGTTGCGCACACACCAGCCCCTACAGAATGTCCAGCGCTCTGGGGAAGGGATGTCCAGTGTGTGGGAGCCTCAGTCTGGGGAGGGGAGGAAGTTGCAGGGAGGGGGCAATGCTCTTGCTGGGCCCTCAACCCACACAAGAGCCCTTGCCAGGGGGACAAAGTGGGTGCAGGAGGGTTGGTGGCCTGGGCAAAGGCAGGGAAGTATGAAGAAGGTCCAGAGTAGCTGGGGGAGTTGGAGGGAGCGGGGCGGGGTGCTGCCCGGTGGCCAGAGGGCCCCAACGGGAGGCTTGTGAGCAGGGACTGGCAGGGAGCCGCGGGGTTCTTTCCCCAGGGCTGTGCTTTGGGGACAGAATTCTTCTCCCTGAGGACTCCACACTCCTTGGTCTCTTCAGGGTAGGGAGCACATCCTAAAACTTCACATCCCTCTCATCTCCCCTAACCAGGTCTGCCCAGCACAGCAGACGAGGGAGCAGGCCTGGAAGGAGCAAAGTTCCAAACATAAGTTTGCTAGGCACGGAATGTCTGGTGTGGATCCTTCTGCAGAGCCCTAGCTGGGATCGGAAAGGGGTGGAACAAGGCTCGGGGCACAGATGCACGAGGTGGGGGCTGCAGCGAAAAAGAGACCGGATTCAGAATGGGGAGGCCCCAGGTGGGCTGAGGGGCCCCCTCCGAGCACGCCCCTTTCCTTTCTAAGGCTCAGCCTCCCTTTGGGTAAATGGGAGCCCAGCTCACTCCCGGGGGGATGCACCAGGGTGACATGCTCAGCTGCCCTGCAGAAACTGTCACGGCCAGGCAAGCTGCCCTCACTGACCAGTCTGCTGCCCAATGACAGGGCCATCTGCCCATTTAGTCCCCTAGTAAGTCAAGGGAAGGGGGCTTTTCCTCAGAGAGGGCCCATCCACACTGTTGCCTTTGCTCCAAGCTTGGAGTTTTCCAAACACGACCTCTTTTGTTCCTCAGGAATCCTCTTCACTGTCTACTAAGGGACAGAGGAATGGGGACCACTCCATCCTTATCCACCAGCTTGGCGAGGCCTCCTGATCCCGAAGGGCAAGAGAGGGCAGAAGCTGGGAGTCCTAGAGGGCCCTTGACACCCAGGCTGCCTGGCAGGCTTTGCGACAGACATGCCTCGGAACCCTCACCAAAGCCTGGGGCCGGAGCCCAAGCTGAGGTCAGGGGCCTGGAGCTGTAACCTGAACTCTGGTGGAAGCCCCTTGATTAAGTTGAAGAACAGAGGTGAGGGGTGTCGCTCCCGTATTACGTTCTGGCTTGCAAGAAAACGGGTACCTCAGTCCTTCAGCCACAAAGGAACAGAATTCTGCCAACAGCCACGTGCATTTGGAAGAGGACCCCAATCTCCAGAAAAGAAGCAGCAACTGACACCCTGACTGCAGTCCAGGAGACCCTGAGTGGGGGACCCTGCTAAGCTGAGCCCAGACTCCTGAACCAGGGGGATGAGAATAAACGAGTGTTGTTTTAAGCCATGAGGTTTATGGTAATTTGTTACACAGCCATAGCAAACAGATACACCTGGCTTGGCTGTGTGGCCTGAGTCTGTCTCTGCACATCTCTGAACCTGCTCTGTAGATCAAGGCCTGAGGCCCAGAGTCCCAGCCCAGGGGGCTCCCAAGGAGCCAAGTGACACTCCAGATGGATGACTCACCCTGGCCCGGGAGGATGGCGAGATGTAGTAGTGGCTCTCAGAGTCCCCGAGCCGGATTCGGTGGCGACAGACACGGGCCAATCCGCTGAGGGCACATGTGCTGGGGGAAAGCAGAGGGGACCATGGGAACCAGCTGGGGCTCACCAGCCCGGCTCATGCAGGGAGGGCGCAGCAGCCAGGGGGAGGCGCAGGGGGAGGGGCAGGAGAGCTTGGTCAACCTGGTGCCAGGTATGGATACCAAAGCCCCGCCCCCTAAAGTGCCTCCCCTACTTTACGGGTCCTCAGACCCAGCCACCGCTCCCCCGCAGCTGGGCAGGAGTCCACTCTCTCCTCCACTTCGTCCCCAGGTCTCCAGGCTAGGTTACGCCAGCAGGGCCTTTTGCGTGGCTCCCCTCAGTGTCTTCCAACCAGCCCTGTGCCTTCGCCTCCATGTTACCGTGGGTGTCGCGGGTCCGGGGTTCCTCCAAACACCCGCATCAAGCCCACCATCTTTCCCTGCAGCTTACCCACTGCCCAGGAAATAGTTATGGAGAATCCTGAGGCAAGGAAGGTTCAACAGGCTCCTTGGCTACAGGGCGTATGAGAGCCTTTGCCGCCCCTCGGTCCACTACGACTCTGTGCCTGGACCAGGGAACCCTCTTTTCAGGGACATCTTTTGATCATTTGTGAAATGCTGGCCTAGCAGCTTAAAGCCCAAGCCTCATTTGAGGACCTTTGTACTCCGGCCCCCAACACGCTCACAGGGGTGTCCAACCTTTTGGCATCTCTGGGCCACACTGGAAGAAGAAGAGTTGTCTTGGGCCATACGTTAAATACACAAACACTAAAGAAAACTGATGAGCAAAAACAAGTTTTAAGTAAATTTATGATTTTGTGTTGGACCACATTCATAGCCATCCTGGGCCGCGTGTGGGCTGCGGGCTGGACGCCGCTGTGAGTCTACAGCCTCAGCCCCATCTCCCTGCCCATCCCACGGCTCCCCCACGGACCCGGCGGTGTTGCCATTAATGCCTCAGCTTCTCATACTCATTCTGTTCCCGCATCCTGAAAGGCCCTTCCCTACTTGGCAAACTGCTCTTCACCCTTCAGTCCAGGCTCAAATGCTTCCCTCTATAACAAAGCTCCCACCAGGAGGCCTCCCTGCAGGCTGCCCCCTGCAAGGGAAGTGCTCCCCAATCCCCCCCCCCACCTTTCTCCACCCTGGCAATTGTGTTCTGCTCCAGCCCTGCCCAGTGCGGGCGCAGTGGCAGGACGGGTCTGACACCAGGGCCGTTTGGTTTATTTGCAGAAGGCAGAGCTGGCACCTGACATCACTTACGAGTCAATCAGACCCAGAGCCCACTGCGGGAGGGAGGGGGAGTGAAAGAAGGCCGTGCAGCAGGCCAGCCAGGAAGAGGGAGACCCCCACTCCAGGACACCCTGGAGAGCCTTGGGGTCCATGGCCAGAAGCAAAGATGCCTCCTCGCCCTATGTGACAGCAGCCACTGTCCCTCTTCTGTCAGGGGCCCCATACCCTCCCTGGTATATACCACACCCTGCCCACCCCCGAGAACCACACCAGAACCCCCGCAGGCAGGCCCGAGCCTCAACCCTCCTTGGCCACCCCCTCGCAGAGTCAAGGGTGTCGGGGGCTTTCCCAAGTGGGTGGAAAGGAGCGACCAGAGCGAAGCTTACTTGGTGCTGCCATAATCGACTGCAGCCACCTTCACCGAGGGTGGTGTCTGCGAAGCCACGGGCTCAATGGTGAGCGTGTTGTCCTCCACGGCAGCCCGCACCAGCGCGGAGAGCTGCGGCAGACCAGGCGGTGGGTGAGGGCGAGGAACGCGCCTCGGCTGAGGGGCTGGCCCGCCAGGGGGCTGCCCTCTGACCTGACTCACCTCCTGCACGGTGAAGTCCAGGCAGGGCCCCACGTCCTCCCGGTACACCCTCTCTAGGAAGGGGCTGCTCTTGTCCAAGGTGGGCGACTCTCTCCAGGCCTGAAACTCTGCAAACAGGGTGGTGTCCACCTGTGGCGGAGGGCAAGCGGGGAGGGGTCGTCAGGGCGCTGGGGACCAGCCCGGCAGAGACAGGCAGCGCTGAGGGAGGTGGGAGCCGGGGAGGACACAGGGCGGCGGCAGCATGCTGGCGGGCCTGTCCCCAGTGGTGGGGTGGGAGGGCTAAGTCTCGAGGAAGAACTCCCTTCTTCCCTCTGCACCAGAGACTTCAAAATGCAAGTTCCCCTTCCAGGCATGTTTTCACTTTACTGGCACTGCAGGATTACAGACCGAGGTCCAGGGCCCCATCCTGAAGACCCGCACTGCCCCCTTGAGGAGGAAAAGGTGAAGAGTGACCCCGCAGGTGCTCGCAGGCACCCCCAGGCACATGCACATGGGGGAAGCATACAGCGTCTCTGAGAGGCCCCTCCCTGGCCTCCGGGGACGAGGCAGGCATGCAGAGTGAGTGAGGCAGAGGGGACAGAGGGGCAGCCCCTCTGCGGAGCCATTACCTGTCGGGAAAAGGAGAGAGAGGTAGCGGAGGTGGGGGCTGCGGGCTGGTCCCCAGGCGGGAGCTGCCAGGCTGGCTCGTAGGTGAGGTGAACCGCCTTGCTGGGGACCACACAGAGGAGCAGGGAGAGGAGCGGGGGCAGCCCGGGCTGGGCGGGTGGGGCCGGAGAGGCAGACAGACAGACAGACAGACAGGTGGACAGAGGACAGGAGGAAGCAGATGTCAATGTCCAGTCAGAAGCTCAGAACTCAGAAGGGGGACCAGACACCTGGCCCATGCCTCCTCCCCAGATGGTCCAGAGAAGCAGGACAGGAAGGAGTTGGGGGCCCCTGGCGTGTCAGAGACCCCGGGAAGCTGAGTCCCATGAGGGGTACAGCCCGGAGCTGAGCTCCAGACATCCTCGTCTCTTCAGCTGCTCTAGGCACCCAGTAGTCCCCAATTACCACGCGAGGACATGGAGGCACTGACAGGTGTCCTCACTTGCTCAAGGACCCACGGCCAAGGATAGCATAGCCCATTGTCCCACCTGAACCAAGGATCCCGCGTACCCAGCCGAGGACAGGGAGACAGCCCCTCAAAGGCCATGCTTGTCTGGGCACCACAGCCAGAGGGTGTCAAGAACCCTCAAGTCCAGGGACGTCAACAAGGCAGTTCTGGGCCTCATGGCCGTGGCCACACAGGGCCTAGGTAGCCTCTCCCAGAACAGCCTCCTGAGGCCCAGGGAGTGTGTCTCTCCGCAGACCCCTGGAGGGCAGGCCCTCAGGCCCTAGGCCAGCATCGCATGCGGGGACACCACCTACAGCTTGGATGGGCAAAGAGGGGGTATCAGGCCCTCAGAGTGTACACCTGGAGGCTGAGGGCCAAATGTCTCATATGCCAAGGAGCCCGTCCAGCTCTCATGGCCAGAGATTACAGAAGCCCAGAGAGCACAGGACAGGCTCCAGGTCACACAGTGGGGGCGGGGGGCAGGCCTGGTCCCCACTGGGCCGCCATGGCTGGCTGACAGCGGGACTCTCTCCCTTTCCTGTGCCCACTGCCCGCCCGCCGCCCCTCACCTCTTTGCCCTCCTTGTCCGGGGTGAGAATGTGGCCGGCCACAGGGCACACGGCAGGGCAGAGGGTGCTGCTGGTGCTCTTATGACGTAAGTGGCCCTTGCGGGGCCCGGCCTTCGTGGGGCTCAGCAGCTGTGGGTGGAGCTCGCGGTTGGGAGAGGCCGGTGTGGAGGTGATGACCAGCGTCTTCAAGGCTGTCACCTCCGCCTGCAGCATGTCGATCTGGCCAGAATGAGACGGCTGCCAACCTCGGCCCAGGGTGGATGCCGCCCTGGCTGCCACTGCCTGCCACCCCAGCTCAGGCCAGCAGCAACTAGCCCCTGGAGCAGCCTCCAAGCTGGGGACTGACACACCCATTTTAGACAGGGGAGCCGAGGCTCAGGGAGGAGACCTGGCCTGCCTGAGGTCACACTGGAAGCCAGGACTCTGTTAGACGCCCGTGTCGGGGAGCTGGCTGGGCCTCCCCCTGAGGGACACCCAGCCTCCATTTTACAGACGGACAGATGGGCACCCCTAAAGTAGCTGGAAGTTACCTGCCAGGCAGAGGTTTCTGCTTTGCAGGGGGGGTGTGGGGTAGGGGGCAGAAATGACAGTGACCACGCACGAGATCCTCCCAGCCCCTGGAAAGCCCCAGAAAGGCCTCTGGGGCACAGTGGAATTTCAGTGGTGTGATCTCTGCCCCACCCTCCTGGGCCTCCGTTAGTGGTTAGCCCGTCATCCCTGGCGGCCATACTGGGCCATGCATGGGTCTAACTGAACAGGAAGCGGGGCAGGAGCTCTGGACGGGCCTGGGCAGGTGGGGGCGGGGCCTCACCTTGCCCCGAGCCTCTTTTAGCTGCTTTTCTGACGCTGCCTGCTTCATGTTGGCTTCTCGAACCATCTTGTGGGCTTCCTGGGAAGAGGCTGCGGTAAGAAGCCAACGCACACCCAGCAGACCCAGTCCCCAGCTGACCCCCGGCTGGCCGGCCGTTGTACCTCAAAGAGGCTGGCTGTCAGCTCCTCCAGCTCCTGTTCCAGCTGCTCCCGGACCTTGGACAGCCGCTCACACTCCTCATCCTTCAGTTTTAGCTCCTGGGGGTTACGTGGTGGGGAGGGGTGTCAGCCCCTCAGGGGCCCCCAGGCCTGACGCTGGGAAGACCAGTCCCCCCAGGCTCCATGCCCTGAGTCATCTTATAGGGACCTGAGCTCGCCTCCTCTGTTGCTCCACTTTATGAGGCAGGAGGTGAAACCCTACTGTCTGTCCATCAGAACTTGGAACAAGGTTTCAGAGAAGTCCAGACTGCTACAGGTCATTTTGGGAGAGCTGGTCTGTCCTTTGTTTGGATTCCCCTCACGCCCCACACAAGCCACGATAGGTGCATGAGATCTCTGGATAGTCGTAGAGCCCACAGCTCTCCCCAGGGACCCCTCCCAGGAACCCCACCTTCTGCGCTTTGTGCAGCTCTTCCTTCAGGAACTCCGAGCCCTTCTCACGGATCTCCATGGACGAGCTGCGCAGGCGTGAGACGTCCAGCGGGGCAGCTGCAGGGCCCTCCTCACTGGGGGCCTCCTTCCCCGCAGAGGTCTCTGCCAGCCCCCCCGGGGACTCCCTAAGGCCTCTGCAGGAGCCCACGCTCTTCCAGGAGACAGGGACAGCTTCAAGGGGCAGAGGGTGGCCCTCGTCCGGGTGGGGCTGCCTGTGAGGCAAACAGCAAACACAGGATGGTGTCTGGAGACCTAGAGAGCCGAGCCCAGGGACCAACCCTGGGCAACGCACCTGCTGCTCTGGGCCTCAGTTTTCACACCTGTAAAGTAGGAAAGCTACCAGTGAGCAAGGCCATGGCCAGGGGTGTCACAAGGGCAGAACGACCAAAAATGAAATGTCTTGGGGGCAAGAGACTTCACTCATTCATCTTTGTTCACCACCCCCTTGCCACAGCAGGTCCTCAGTTCAGGTTGTCCAGCAGGTGACCATCAAACACACCAGTGTTAAGAATCTTCAAGAAGTTTCCACTTCCATAAAGTATGGGCAATCCCAATGGTCCTACCTCAAGTGTCGCTGGCTGCACAGAGAGGTACCTAACACCCTGGCACATAGCGGGCACTTAAGTGGGAATTGCCTTTGTTGTTACTGTTGATGCAAATGTTATGCAAATTAGGGGCAGGCCAGAGAGGAAGGACCAGCCAGGACAGACAGGAAGATTCTGCAAAAAGCAAGGCAAGGCAGACCCATTTCCTGTCCCCCTGGACCTGTGGGGGCCCATCCCAGCTCTCCCTGATCTGCCTTGTGACCTCAGATAAACACCCCTGCCCTGGGCCCCAGGACCCCCTGCCCTGGAGGCAGTGTGGGGTGGGGGCCACCAGCCTCTGCCCTCCCCCCACTTCAGCCAATCCACACTCCCGCCTTGAAAGCAGGCCCTGGCGTTGGGGGAAGGAGGAAGGGAGGGGGCGGGCTTGGCCAGCGGTGGTTTGTGCCAAGACAGCACCTCTGGACTCGCTCACTCAGCAAAAGTTGGCGGCTCCTGAGCCAGCAGCTTCTGAGCGGCAGTGGCTGGGCTGAGCGGGGTTGGGGGGGGGGGCGGCCAGGCCAGCCCATTGATAACAATGCGGAAGTGGCTGGGAGGGGGCTCAGAGAGGCCCCACAGGAGGGAGGAAAGACACCACCAAGAAGTCCTGGATTCAGGATTGCTGAGGGGAAAGTGTGAAAGGCAAGGCTGGGGGCTGGTGCTGCGGACTTGTCCTTTGGACTCTGGGACTGTCACCAAGCAGCACTTCAGTCTCAGTTTCTCCCTGGGGGAACACAGAGGGACTGGATACTAAGGGACCCCCAACAATAAGCTCATTCCGGACCCTTCACATGGGCCCGTTCAGCCGGCAGCGCAGCCTGCCCTCCGTTTTGCAACTGGCCCAGAGTGTGGCCTCGAGGTTTCCCGGGCTGGGTCCCGCCTGGCAGGGATGCAGGGCTTTGACGAATACAGTGGGAACGCACATCCATCATTTCATCAGTGGTATGTGTGCCGGACAGGGACCTTCCCAATACCCTTGTTTGTCCCGGTGGGTCAGCCCCACCCTTGACCTGTGGTTATTGCTCATTCTATCAAAATGGGCAACGCCGAGGACAGGGGGTCCCTGAGGCTTGAGGGACAGAGGAAGGGGTCCCTGAGGCTTGAGAGGCTGTGGCAGTGCGGTGGTGGCCCTGGGCCGGGGTCTGCATCCAGGGCTCACACTGTGCCAGGATCCACATGGGGTGCTCTGCCCATGTTACCTTGTTTAAAACTCTCAACAGCAACCATGGTATTGTCCCCGTTCTACGGATGAGGGAGAGGTCACAAAGCTAGCTGGTCGGCTGCAGTGCTGGGACAGGCGCCCAGGCCTCCAGCCACGGCTGCCAGCGGGTGGAGGTGTGAGTGGTGGAATCCACGCTTCTGCTGGGGACCCAGGGCTGCTGGGCCCAGGGGGACTCCGGAGGCTCCTCCTGGGCTATGGCAGGGAAACCTGACCTAGTTCCTGCCCCACCTGGCTTCCCAGCCTCTGCTCAGTTCCAGAAACTGTCTCCTAGGAGGGACGGCCAGGGCTGGGGAGCTGTAGCTGAGAGCAGAGGCAGCGTCGGGCAAGCCCAAGGCCACGCGGGCGCTGACCTCGGGTACCTGTGAGCCCATAGGAATGTCATCGGAATCCTCTGCAGCTGCTTCCTGCCTGCGGATGGGGGTTAAAGCCTGCTGCGGGCGCACTAGGGATCAAATGAGAAGGCCCTGGACACAGTACTGGGTAAAAGGTGTGCAGCCCACAGCCACGTTTGGCTGACACCCCTCACCCCCACCCCATGCCTGCCCAGGCTCTGGGTCCCGCAGCTGAAGCTGAAGGCCCTGGAGATTGTTCCCACTGGCAGACTGGAGGTCAGGGGCTCGGCCCTCAGTCGGGCGGGGGCAGCAGACCCTGCCTCGGCGTTGCCCATTTTGATGGAATGAGCGATAACCACAGGTCAAGGGTGGGGCTGACCCACCGGGACAGCACAGGACACGTACAGGACCCCAGGTCTCAGACACCCAGACTCTGAGCCTCTCCCTCTGCAAGGACCACCCCGCCACGTTGCATGCTGCCTGTCCCGGAGAAGAAGACCGCCAGCCCCTCCCGTGACGGCCGAACTTTGTCCACCAGTGTGGTCTGGGCCTCCGGCCACACAGTGAAAAATTTTAACTCTCCTGCTGGTCCCAAGGGCACAGGCTGGGGGTGTGGCCAGACAGTGTCCTGTCATTTTCCCAACAGGCGCCCACCTCAGCTCACTGCCAGGGGGAATGGGACCCCATTCTGCAGCCAGAGGAAACAGATCCTGGGAGGCCTGAGACAGCCTCTGTGATACCCTTCCTACCCCTGGTGGGAAATTCCAATGTGCAAATCCTAATGGCAGAATGTGTGGGAACAGCAGGACCACCCTGTAGTCACCAAGCTTCCGCTGCCTGGGTCAAGGGTACAGGAGCAGGAGGGGAAGAATGGTCCACCCTGTCCTGGCCGGGAAGCTCTCACCTAAGGACCCTCTGCCTCCCACTCCCGAGCTGTGAGGCCGGCTCGGTGACTCAGAAACTTCAGGCTAAGGAGGGACCCCAGACCCCTCGCTTCTGGGGCCCAGCCCAAGCCAGAACACTCTTCCCCCATGCACTTCAGCCTCCCAGACCACAGGCCCGAAAACCTGGGCGTGAGCCGTGTGGCGGGGAGGGCACCCTTCTCGCTCCGGTGAGCCCAGGCTACCACCTAAGGTCTCCGCTATTTCCCACTGCCTCAAGTCCAGGCCCACGCCCTCTGCTCAGACCTGCTCAGTCCCCATTCCCTGTAGACACAGAGTCCAGCATCCAGGATACGATGCTACCGGGGCCACTGGAAAGGGGTCTGCTCAGGGGCAGGCTTAGATAGTGAGAGTCAAGGTCACAGGTAGGTGGGGGCCATTTCCTAGGGCCCATGGCGGTTCATACAGGAAAGGCCCTGCTGGGTCACTTCCCCTGGAAATACGCAAGGGCGGGGGGAAGGCAGCCACTGGAACCCTCACACCCCATCCAGGCCTGCCCTGGGAGGGAGGGCCAGCGGGGCTTTTGTCTCCATCCACAAAAAAGGGCCAACTGAGGATGAAGACCCTGGATTCTGTGGTCCCCAGTCACCCAGCAAACCCCACAGGCCATTCCTGGGGCCAGAAGGGCCCAACTGGAGCCCTGTGTACCCCTTTCCAGCCCTGGCCAGACCATCCTGCCACGAGGTCTTTCTGACCCCCAACCTCTCCCTCCCTACCCACTGGTGCCCAGAGCACCTCTTTGAGCCAAAGACTCCTAAGCTATGGGCACAATGGATTCATTAAACAAGCAGGGTGTTGTTAGCAAGGGAAGCTCTGAAATGGGGGGAAGAAGAGGGCAGGGAGGGCACACAGGGGCCACTCTCCCTCTGCCTGGGGCCACCACATCCACGGTCCAGCATGCCTGCCGCTGATCTGGTCAGCAGGAACCCCAACCCAGGGCCCAGCGCCGGGACAGTGCTGTGGCACAGGGGCCGGCTTCAGACTCACACTCATGCACTCAGTAAGCCCTGGGGGCACTGAGGCTGGCAGTCAAGTGACCCTTGTCCAGGGGACACGGAGATCCCAGGAAAGGCTTCATGCGCTGGCTCCCTGACCAGCCGCCAAGCCCAGCCAGGCTCAGCTTACTAAGAGGGGCCAAGTGTTCAGCTCCAAATGAACCAGCGCATTGGAATCTGAGCCCCTGCCACATGCCCCCGCCAGCCCACCCCTCCACTGGATGGCGTGTGAGGACTGCGGTGGCTGCATGGGCCCCCCTCCTTGTCCTCTGAATCCACAGGTGTCACCGCATGTGAACCTCACTATGCCATGGTCATGAGATGCTCTCCTCCTCCCGGTTTGAAACGTGAGGCGCCGAGGCTTGGAAAGGGATGGCAACTTGGCTGGAGCACACAGCAAGGAAGTGGCAGGGTGGGAAGTGAACCCAGAGTCCTGGCAGCAGTGAGTCATGTGACCTGTCACCCAGAGAAGCCCGGAGGGGAGGAAGGGGGGCAAATGGTGCTCTCGGAGAAGTGAGGCAGGGTGCCGACAGGCTGTGAGGAAGTCTGCGACAGTGCCCAAGTGGTGGTGGCGGCGGCAGTTCCCCCCAGGGCAGCTGGGCAAGCAAAGCAGGCTCTGAGCTCGGAGGGGCACATGGACAGAGACGCCTCCGGGAGGGGGTTCGTGGGACAACCAGGGTCTTGATAGGGGGGCAGAAAAACTAAGTTGAAGTAATTAACTAATGGAGTTGGAAACCAAGGAAAAGGTGAAGAGGGAGAACAGCGGTAATGACAGGAATGAGGAACTGAGAGGGGGTCTTTCGGGGAAGGGAAAGCGGGTGGCCTAGGGAGGCACCAGGCCAGAGGGGGCAGCCGCAGCCTGAGTCAGATGAGGGGAGGGTTCCAGAAGAACAGGACGATGGTGTCACATGTGGGAGCAGAAGACCAGGACTCTGGGGGGTGGGAGCAGGTGGACCTGGACAACTCTAGGAAGCAGGTGCGTGCAGAGGAGGCAGGAGCAGCGGCAACGCCTTGTAGGAGAATGTGGGCCAGGAGCGGGGAGCAGGTTGGGAACAGCCTTGAGCTGCTAAGGAGGGGGGTCAGAACTCCTGAGGCCAGTGGGCCAGGCCAAGACTCTCCCAGCCGCAGCCCCGCGCCTGCCAGCCTAGCTGAGCCCTGATGAGAAAATCCAGCCCCGGGTCCCCACTGAGAGCCCGAACAAGGCCCGAGAGGGCGGGGGCTCCACCTCCGCTGGTATAGGGCAGGGCACACAGTGCATGGCGCATGGCTCGTATCCACCAGTTCAGTACTAGATGAACCCGACGCCCCAACACTTGGAGCCTCCAACACTCACACAGTGGGCACTCACCATGTGCCAGGTGCTCCACCAGTGCTGATCCCCCTGATCCGCACAACCTTACAGATTCTAGCAGCAGCATCACCAAGCTCCCTTCACACCACATTCTAATTCATTTTGTTCCCTTTCCCCAAGCCCGTTTGTTGGGTGCAAATCCGTTGCAGATGTGGGGGAGTCTAGAAGTGGGACTCTGATGAGGGTGAGCCTCGTAGACAGGTGTGCTGATTGTGGAACAGCAGAAAAGATCTCTACCTGTTGAGAAGGGGGAGGTGGTAATTGATGGAGGGCCTCCAGGAGGAGGCAACAGTAAAGGTGGCACAACCGCTTTTCCCCTGCTCCTGACCCCAGAGCCCCAGGCCATGCTGTCTCAGGGAAGCATTTAAGATCTTGCTTCCGGGCAGTGTGATCAGTTTGGCTCAAATAAACTCTTACAAAAATTTCAAAAAACAAAAGAGAACTGCCTCAGGGCTATACTCCCCTGTGACTTAGGCCTTACAGGCACGAGCCACAGACTCAAACTCCTTAGGGTGGTCAAGGCCCAGAGAGTTGAGCGACTTGCTCAAAGTCACACAGCCTTCTGCAGCTCTGGAGCTCTTGGGCACCCTGCCTGCTGCAGACACACAATCCTCCATCTCTGGGAGTTTGGGGTGATCTCCTTCCGTCTCTGGGCAGCCCCTCAGAGCAATGTCATGTGGCCACTTCACAGCAAAACAAACAAACAGACAAACAGCCTAGAACCCAGCCTTGGATCTCTGCTGACCAAGTTCCAAGAGCCCAGCACAGTGTTAACTGCAGAAGTACCCAAGAGGCCATCCTCACCTCCATCCCCTCAGAGCAGACTTGGTGCTCAAAGCTATGGATACGGGGCACTGTGGGGGATGGGGAGGGTGCAGCCCCATTTTCGGGGAGCTGCCTCTGGGTCCAGAGTTATGGCCCACATTCAAGAAAGACGGTCCACCTGAGCTCCTGCCGCGTTCCACCACTACCATGTACCCCACAGGAGCAGCTCTGGGTCCAGGGCCCTATCCTGGCCATTAACAGCAGTCACCCACGGGAGAGATCTCAGTTCATCTTACAGGTAAGGGCTCTGGGGTCACCGACTCCTCATCCCAGGTTCCTCCTAGTCTGGGACAAAGGGCCCCAAGTGCACAGCTGCCCGACATCCTCATGAGCTACTAGGGGCCACAAGCACAAGCTCCTCAATCTGCCCCCTTTTGCCTTCCGTCTGCATGTAGGAAGGCACCCACTTTGTGCTCTGCACCAGGCTCGGCCCCGGGGACTCAAATATTCGTGAAAGAAGTGAGACAGACTATGGAGGATCACGTGGGGGTTGGCTTGGCAGCCTGGTTCATCGAGAAGGTTCCTGGGAATATGGCAGGGAGGCTGGACTGGGGACCTTCTCCAGAACCTTGAGTAGTCTCTTTGATTCTGTCCTTAAAGAGTGTCCAGCCCTAACTGTTGTGGCTCAGTGAGTTGGGAGTCATTCCACAATGCGAGAAGTTCCGGGTTTGATTTTGAGTCTGGGCACATGCCTGGGTGGTGGGTTCCGTCCCAAGTCAGGGTGTGTAGGAGAGGCAGCTGATCGATGTCTCTCTCTTGCATTGATGTATCTCTCCCTCTCTTTCTCCCTCCCTTGCCCTCTCTCTAAAAATAAAGAAAACCTTAAAAAAAGAGAGACAGAGAGGGAGAGTCCATCTGGTAGCGTCTGGCCTTGTCTCTCTGGCCCGGCTTGGACGCCTCTAGGGAAAGACATTCTCTGGGCCTGGATCACTCCCGGCCCCCCAACCTGCTCACCTCGCCTAGAGGCCCAGAGAAGGGAGGCCACGCTCTGGAGATCACACAGCAACTCAGTGGCTCTGTTTTGGCACAAGTACTGCCCTCCCTCCCCAGGTACCACCAACCCACTTCAGCCACATTCTCCCTAAACTCAATCTCCTTCCCTGGAGGCACAATTCCAAAGGATACCTGCTCTGCCTCTGTGCTCTCCCTTTAAGAGTCTCTGGCCTCTCTTTGCCACCCCTCTACCAAGAGCCCATTCTCTCAACACCGCCCCCCCCCCCTGCTGGGGATCAAGCCTCTTCCCCGCCCCTCTCCCCCGCAGCATCTCAGCTCAGGCTTTGCTGGGTGCTGGAGAGCACAGTGGATCTGGCCTACATCAGAAAACTCTCCAGCCCCCCCAGCCTCCCCAGGGGGGCTGCCCTCACTCTCCGGCTCTGTCTGGGAGCCCTGTCCTGGGACCACCCATCTGGCCCAGTTCTTCGCAGGAATACAACCCACCTCCACTCTGGCCATCCAGGTCCTAGTCTTTCCCTGCCACGGGAAAGAGGGAGTGTTTACCGAGCTCCGTGAAAATACCACAGCCTTTCGGCACATACAGGGCAGGGGTCAGCCAGGGACAGGGACCACCGGAGAGCCAATGAACAGATACGGGTCCTGGGTCCCACCCCACCCCTCCGAGCCCTGCCGGCTCCGGGATGGAGGCTCAGCAACTTTCAAGCGACTTTGGCGGAGACCCAGCCCCCTTTCCCCAACTGCACTGCTTTCCAAGGGTTCTTCTAGCTCGGGGCCCTCCTCTGGGCGTGTACCCCAGACTTCCTTTGACTTGCACCCCTCCCCCCATCCCACTTGCTCTCCAAATGAGCTGGGAGGAGTTGGCGCTGTCACACGGGGACGGTCTGCCGCCGGCCTTTGACACTCTCAACCCCCGAGAACCCCCCCACCCCCCTCCGCTGACCTCGCCCCGCGGAGCGTCCTTCCATCGCTGTTTCAGAGTCAGCTCTCCGGTCCCCGTTGGACAAGGGGCTCCTCCGCCGCCGACAGGACTGGGGAGCCGAGCACCCAGCCCTGTGGGCAGACTCGGCGGGGCTCCCTCACCCGCCCAGCCCGGAGGCAGCCGCGGCCCGACCTGGGTTGGAGCCGCAAGCGCGCCCGGACCTACCCGCTCCACATCCCGGAGCCTCGGGGCGCCCGGGCGTTCGTCCCCGCCGCCTCCGAGATCTCCCTGCACCACGTCCCCGCCGCGTCCCCGCCGCCGCCGACTCCACCCCGGGCCGGCCGGCCTGCCCCACCGCCTGTCAGTCCCGGCCGCAGTCTGTCCGTCTGGCCGGCTGCGGCTCGCACCCGGGACCCCAGCTCAGCCCCGATCCTGCCCTCGGGGGTCACGTGGCCGAGGGGGTGGCCAGAGGACACAAGCCCGGCCCCTCCCCTCCGCCCGCAGGGCGCAGAGCTCGCGCGCGCTCCCGGCCCAACCCGGCTCGGCCGCCCGCCCCGGACGGTCCCGAGCGCCGGGAGGAGCCCGACCCCCACCGTCCTGGGCCCGCAGGGCTCAGACACTCCCCGCTGCCCCTTCTCGCAGCCCGGCGCAGCACCCGCTCCGGGCCACTCCTCTCAAGAACCTGCATTAGTTACCGGGCTTTTTGCTCCCTGATTGTTATCGGATTGTCACTCTAGGTCAGCAGACACCTTCCCGTCCCGCACTCGGCCTCCTGGCCATCGCTCCCTCCGGAGCTCCCTGCTCTGTCTGTGTCTGTTCCCTGTGCAACATTTTGCCTGGTGGGAAGGGGAGCAGATCCCAAAACAAGTATTCTTCCTCTTATTCTCTGGGTGCTTATCCCAGGCAGGATTCTCATTTGGCCCAAGTCTTCAACCCCAACCTCTCCTACCTGTGAGCACACTCTGCCCATCCTTGCCTTTGCCCACTGTCTTCTCTCTGGAGGAACACGCTACACACACACTACACACACACACACACACACACACACACACACACACACACACACACACACACACACACACCGTGCCTTGTCAGGTTCCACATCTGCAAAACGTTTCTCTTAATCTCAAACCATTGGCCTTCGGGTACCTCACTCTCTCTGTGCCTCTCACCTGTCCTAAGCTCTGACCATTGCATTGACCCCAACTTCAACCTGAGACTGGTGAGAACATAGCCCCCCTTCTCTCCTGTCAGGAACCATGCCTCTCATCCTCCCTATCCAGAGGAGGACTGGGAGGGTTGGAAGAAGATTCTTCCCTCCTGGATGCTACCAGAACTCTGGGCACTAGTCTTCCAGGCCCATAGAGCCAGGGTCCTAGGCTTGAGTTTGTTAGATCTTCATCTGGGGACACACACGTCTTTCTTTCTCTTTATTTCTTTCTCTTCCTTTCTTTTTCTTCTTTCCTTCCTTCCTTCCTTCCTTCCTTCCTTCCTTCCTTCCTTTCTCTTCCTTTCTTTTTCCCCTTCCTTCCTTCCTTCCTTCCTTCCTTCCTTCCATCCAACCACCTCTTCTGAGTACAAACTATGGAGCATGCAAGGACTGGGGACCCACAGGAAACTGCTGGACACAGTCTCCATCCTTCCGGACCCTAGTATAGTGGGGAGATGGGGGTACGGTGACATACTCTCAAGAACCTCCACTTCCAGGGCCACCACGTGCCCGGGACACACCTACCTTGCTCACTGAATGATATCTTTGCTCAAAATAGAAAAAAGTATCCCTTCTTTAGGTGGGCACAGCCCATGCCAAGGCTCAGGACTTGGTGGGTGGAGAGCAGGCTGGATGTCATGCCTTGCACGCATGTTCCCTTGGCCAGCACCTGTCTAGTGGACCACCTGGAGCATCCCTTCCAACTTTCCAGAATCATTCTGCCCAGGCCTCCCACGCCCTTCACTTTGGAGGGAAGTTCTTTCCACGACTGTGGTTTTCCAAGGACAGGGACCAGCTTCCTCCTGGCGCTGTGTTTCGCCAGCCAGCCCAGCCCAGCCCAGCCCAGCCCAGGATCTGGCAGAACGCAGATGTCATCGTGATCCTTGACTTGAACCCTTCACCAAATAAGTCTTGAGCATCTTCTGCCTTCCTGGCCCTTGCTTTGCTCACTGTTTAAGGGAAGGGGGAGAGATGACTCAAAAGGAGCTCAGGACAGGACCTTTACCCTCCATCGTCACAAGTCCAGGCAGGAGATAGGACCTGGTCCATGTCTGGCAGCCCAGACTGGTGGGAGACAAGGGGTGGAGGGCATGTCAGTGCAGGGCCACAGCTCCAGAGGAAGAACTCTCCGTATGGGAGGAGGGGTAGGCCGTGGGGGCCCTTGGGTGAGGCCTCCATGGACAATGTGGGGTCACTATTCTGGGAGCATTGACACCTCAAGTACTTGCCAAAAATATTCCATCATCTATGCAACCAGTTGCCTTGGACTCCCTGGTTTCACTAGCTTCTCCCACGCCCCCAAAGGCTCTTCTCCTCAGCTGAAAAGGATGAGCTCAGAGACGGTAAGAACCTGCCTGATGTCACACAGCCGGGGGTGGGGTGGGCTGAGGCCCCTTCTACCAGTTTTCTGGAAAGACAGCCCAGAAACCAGAGGACTCACTGGGAGCTGCAGCTGCATGCAGTAAAGCAACCACTAGGTACCTGGCCTGCAGGTGGAAAGGGAGAAATAGAAAGAGGTGTGTCCTCTGCCCACAAGCCACTGACCTCTCCCAACCCCTGTGCCCCAGCCATTTTCCTGGCCAACCCCATGCCCAGCTTTGGCCTCAGGCCCTTGGTGGAAGGGAGATGCGGAGCAGAACTGCCAGTCTGGATGACCCAGGCCCTGACTCTGTCCTCAGTTCACTGTGTAACCCAGGAGGAGCGTCTTCTCCTCTCTGAGCCCCAGTCTCTATGTCTGTATAACCACCAAGTGGGACAAGACAATCAGGGCCACCTCCCCGGTGCGGATCTTGTAGGAGGTCCATGAAATTCCTCATAGTCCCAGGCCGGTCCCCTGCCCGTAACTTGGCTTCTCAGCCCCTCCCCCAAGCCCCTTGTAGAGTGGCAAGATTCCCCCGTCCCTTTCGTGTCCCAGGTTGCCAGCTCACCTGTCTGTGTCCCAGGACTCCTCTCCCGGGTTCCCCTCAAGTGCAGGGCACAGACCCGATGGGGCATAGCGAACAGTCCCCGAGCTCATTGCCAGGTACACGGGGCACTTTCCTCGGGCCGGGCACCTGGTGCCTTCCTCAGGGGAGTTCATGCTTGCAGGGCCGGGCCAAGTGTCCCTCTGAAGACTGCCAGAAGGGCAGGTGGCAGAAGCCTTCTCCCCACCCCCAGGCCCACACTAACCTTTGCTATCTCTGAGAAGCAGCTGCCTGCGAGGGAGGAGCCTCCCAGACAGGGGACTATCTCCTTAAACCCGTAATTATTAACTCCCGTGGCTCAGCAGGCAGCAGCAAGTCCTGGGGCCCTCCTTCCTAGGCCTCGGAGGGAGGTGGGAGCTTCCTACACATGCCCAAGACCCCAGGCTTCAACAGGACCCACAAATGAGCCTGCCTGTTCCCTCCTTGCCCAGGTTAGCACGTTGGAAGGAGCCTGTCCAGCCCTGGCTCTAGCACTAGCTGGCTGTGTGGCCTTGGGGAGGGCCATCTGCCCTCCCTCACCCTAATCCCTGGCCTCGACATCCCCTTCAACCCTTTAACCACCAACAGGAAGGGACAACTCAGTAAAGTAGTTAAGAACACAGGCCCGGAGTCAGACAGGCTGGGTTCAACCCCTCTTCTAGACTGTCAACCTCTGGACCTGTTAGTGCCTCTGTGCCTGTGTCCCCAACTATAAAATGGAGTCTCTCCCTCTAAGGCTCACCAGGCCTGCTGCTGTGGCCCAGATATGCCCTACAACCGCACCTTCCTCACATTAATGCTTCTTTCTGCAGCTCCCGCCCCATCCAATCCTGCTGATAGATTTCTCTTTAGCGCATACCCCCTCCTCCAGGAAGCCTTCTTCTGTGAAGTGCTTTCTTCCTGTGCAGGCAGCAGGCTCTGGGCCTCAGACACATGATCCGCCTCGTGTCATGATGAATGCCCCATGGTACTGTGGGACAGCCCCTGCAAGCACTGAGCCGCCCCTGCCAGAGGCTGGCTCCCCACTCCTCACCAAACTGTGAGTGTCCCCTTGCCCGGCGCACGGCCAGCCTCAATCCGCCCAGGAGCGGTGGAATGTTTCACCCTGTCTCATTTGGCCTGAATTCTAATCCTAGTCCTGCCATTCTCTGGCTGTGTGACCTTGGGCAAGTCACTTAACCTCTCTGGGGCCCAGTTCCCTCCTCTATAAGAGGGGACCAATTCTCCCCTGCGACGCTGTGAACAGCGAAGAAGGCAACATGTGTGAAGAGTCTACCGCAGTGGAGGCTGGAACGAGCCTTTCCTGTCTGCTTCTCCCCTGCCTTCCCTCTTCTTTCCTGTCAGCCTCTGAGTCCCCGCTGGGGAGAAGCTGCCAGTTCCTGACTCGCAGTCACGCCCTGCCCGCCCACCGGCCTGTGGATAACAATATCTCCCACTCAGGCTTTGGGCTTCGGAGCTCTCTCTGCCTAATACAAACCAGATGCTGGCCTCCCTTTCCTGGCAATGAATTTTCCATGGCCTGCTCCCACCCCCTTCCTGTTTTTGCGCCTCACTGATCCCCCTGTTAAATTCTTCCGTGCCCCCACCTTCCTCTGCAGGGCAACCTCTGGGCCCACCTGGAAACAATTAATGGAAAACAGGATGTGTGAAAGGGGGTTCCGCTCATCACCCCGACATGGCAGGAGGGGAAGGGGCTCAGTCTAGCTGGTGATAAATTATATGACCTAGAGTCCTTCCCTGCTGAGCCCCAGCCATCTGGAGGGGAAACTGAGTCAGTGTTGCTTTGAGAACTGTACAGAAAACTGCTCCTTTCTGGACACTTAGGCACAGCTGGGGCTGAATGGGGAGCTGTGAGGGTCTTGTCCTTGGCTGTGACTTCTTAGAAAAATCAGAACCAGAAGAGGCCGGACCCCTTCCTGCTGCAGGCGAAGGAAAGGAGGCTCAGAGACTCGGCCCAGGTCGCGGGCGAGTTGGAGGTGCGCTGCAGCCAAGTCTGAGACTGGCTGCCAGTAAGAGTCACCTCGGGGGATGCTATCTCAGCATCGTTCCCTCCCTCCCTTCCCTGGCCTGGCCTGCAGCGCCAGCCAGTGAGCCCCGTCACGAGGGGAGGCTCACAAGGCAGTGCCTGC